CATCAAAGATTGTAAATTGTACAATCAAATTTCTATAATCATCTGATAGTAAATACTACAATCTATATCGCTGTCTGTATATTTAGCACTAAATATGGTTGCCCTTAACATCATTATGTTACCCAGTAGCATAAATTTCTCTCCGTGTATATAAAGTTTACTCAAAAAGTTGGGTAAAATGGCTACACATGCGCTTTTGAACAAAATTTCACCAACTGTAGTTCAAAATAAATTTTTACCCAAGAAGCACGTAATATATCCTCAATATCAAGGTAATATTACACGTGAGATTCGTAATATAACGCTGTAATATTACAGTAATCTTACAGTGATCTTAAAATGTCTGCCTCAAGGTAATATTACCGGGAATATTACTGTAATATTAACGGTAATATTACAGTAATATTACAGACTGATTTGAGTTATTCATAAAGCATAAAAAACGCTTTGAGTTCGGGGTTCGATTCCCTGGATGGGTAGATTTTTTTCGTAAAGAAATGTTCCCATAATATTACTGTAATATTCTCTTGTAATATTACCTTAATATTACGGTATAATATTACTGCAATATTACTGTAATATTACCTTAATATTAGCGCCTAATATTACAGTAACATTACCGGTAATATTACAACGTTATATTACGAATCTTACATGTAATATTACCTTGATATTGAGGTTATATTACGTGCTTCTTGGGTAGTAGGTGAAAATAAAATTGATGAATTTTTAAAATAAACTTTATAAAATTTTAGCAACACTTTGAAAAGAATATAATACTGTGAGTTAATTATTATCAAATCACATTTGAATAAAATGTAGTCAACAGTTGGGTAAAATGTGAACTTTAAATGTGAATAAGTTAGGTAAAATATTATTGGTGGGGGGATACGGGCAAAAAATCATTCTTACTTATCGACAGTTGGTTCTAGCATTGATTCCTGTATTATCTACACTATGAAAATTGTCAAAAAAATTATTTTTTAATGTCGATGATTGATTTTCATACTTAGCACAAATACATATAATACGCTTACATATAACCTAACCTAACACACATACAACGAAATACTAATTTTGCTCGCAGTTACATTGAACGGAATGATTTGAACTGTCCTTATACATCAAGTGGCAGAAAAATTCACAGCTTGTGAGAAACGCTTGTAAAGTGAATAAATGATTTATTTTACTTTTATAATTATATTATTGACTCTTAATAGAATAAAATATATTGCGGTCAATTAATTATGGTTTAGAAATTTAAAATTCCATTCAAGTTTTTAATTTAAAATGAAAAAAAAATATGAAAAAAATATTAATCTATTTTAAACAACAGAATAAAAATAAAATTAAAAATTATTTAGCAGAAGAAATAGTAATTTATTTTATATTGTAGTAAATAACTAAATAGAATATTTATATTGAAATTTATAGAATAACAGATTTTTTCATGTGAATAAGACAAACATAAAAGCAGAGTTTTAAAATAAATTTTTTTCAATTTTCAAATAAACAATAATAAACTAATAATAATAAAATATTTAACATTAAATGAAAAGACTTATTATGAAATCCCATTTTTTAGTGTGATAGGTTCAGGTGCGTAATAAAAAAAACTTGGCGCCCTGTTAAAATATATATGGTCTTATAATCTATAATTGTTGATAATTATTAACTTTTATCTTTTTCAACTGCTTTATTAAAAGTAAATGCTACTAGTAAACTTATTTACAAATTTTTAAAAAGTTTTATAAATAATGTTTAAGTAAAAAATGTTTACGGGTGCCTAATGTTTCACATTCAGTCCTGGCAAAAGTTGCGTGGTGGGGGACATACGTTTTACTCAACTTTTGAACGAACTGTGACACATGCAGACGAATAAGTACCCAAGTAAAGCATAAAGTACTACGAAAAGTAAATCAGTTTATGATCAAATGCATTCTATATAGTTTAGTCTAAAATTTGTTTTAATCTTTACACTATACTGTTTGAACACACTTTAAGAAATATATTTTAATAAACATACAAGAGAATTTTAAATATTAGAAAAATGCCCATGTTTAGCCATTTTTCCCAACTTTTAACTATATATATTCTTTAAACATATTATCGTTTTCTCAGTGTATAATTTTTTTTGCCTGTAAGAGATTTTTCTTAAATTCACACACTCATAATATTTGAAACGAAGGTCGAATTACGTTAACGTCTCACGAAATATGAGGTTCGAGAATAGTCATTTGAATAAATGTATGGGGGCTTTCTTTCTCAAACGTCCCATGACAAAAAATTAAAAGTTATTCGATATTGGCTTGAAACTTTGGTAATTATTATTGTTCTAAATGAGGGTTATAAATTCCTAAAATATAAGATCATTTTTTTTTGAAAACAGTATATAGAAAAATAAAGAGGGATAAAGTATAGCTCTTTAAGGTCAAAATTGAAAAATATTTTAAAATGCAATAAAAATTTTCACCATAGTTAGAATTTTGAAAATGACAATATCATTTAAAATGTCAAAACTAGAGTAGTACTACTAGTACTATTTTTTTTAATATTAGCTCATATTTTAGGGATCTGTTACCCTCATTTTAGTCAACAATTTACCAAAATTTTAAACCAATACAGTAATTCTTAATTTTTGCCTGGAATATTTGAGAAAGAATGACCCATATTGGGCATTCCACCTAAAGTTTTTATTCAAAAATAATGTGTTTTCTAATTTTTTATGAAAACTACAAAAATACATAGATTTTCTTATTTTTCATATATAAAATTCGAAAAATATTAATCTCCATGAAGTTCGCGTCGACGCTCAACGTCGAAAATTATTTTCCATAGGACCAAAAATATTAAAACATTTTTTAAAAATGCCTTAAGAAGTATATTTCAAGGCATTATTTGGATTGAAAATTTTAAAAAACTAATTTGAAATTTTTGATTCTATGAAAAACAATTTTTGGAGCTGAGCGTCGAAGCCAACTTCAAGGAGGTAAATATTATTCAAATAAAAAAAATTTTCACTTTTAAAAATTCTCTTTAAAACTACACAGAGAAAAATGTTAGCTCCTATAGCTAACTATTAGTTATTTCAGGTGATGTAAGCTGATGTAACTGATGTAACTGATGTAAGCTGGATGCTGTTAGCTATCGCAGCTAATAGTTGTTTGCTGGTAGACTTAATAATTTAGCTGAAGTAACTAACATCGAGCGCAAATTATTAGCTCCAATGACTAACGTTAAATGCTTCCTCATTTTCGGAATTTTTTGTCTCGGAAGAGTTTTGATTTTCTTTATCCGAAAAAAAATTATAAAAATGTTAATTTCGAAAAAAATTATTACTATTTTAACTGTTTTTAAAACAGCATGAATTATGACAAAAATTACAAATATAAAAATTTTGTTCAAATAAATGGTTTCATTTTTAGGTTAAGTGTGCGAAACTGAATTCGTTTACGTTACGTTTCTCCAAGTCCCATTTTTGAAGAAACTGCACAAGTTGTTCATTCAACATTTTTGAATGATAATTAATATTTACTTACTAATATATTTCTGTATTTAACAAAAATTTTATACGATTAATGGCTCGGTTAATAGTCTATTCCTTTTGACGCAAAGTAAAGCTGCCGTCACACCGTAATGCCGGCCGGCTACGGGGTTCACACACACGGTCTTGCTAATCCTTAGCTGCCACAGCTGAGGATTAAGGCCAGGTCCAAGTGAGGCAGCGCCATCTACATTGATACTAAAATTTTGGAAAATTTTCAACAGCCTTTTCTTGAAAACAAGATGGTAAAATGCTTTTTCCTTTATGCATAATTGATTATTGGCAAGATATATACCAACTAAAACTTTTTTTGAGTTAAAATAATGAAAAAAATTTCATGTCGATGAAATTAAATATGAGCACTTTTTTCACAAAAACTGTAACAGTACTTTCTCAGAAATTACAATCAAAAATGCAATTTCCATTTGGAAAATTAATAAACGCTAAAAAATATACGACCTAAGATTTACCAATCACGAAAATAATAAAAAAAAAAAATTTATTAAATATTTAACATATTGATACTGCTTTACTGATTGTGACAGCCCTTTAGTAGATTATGTATTTCAGGTGGTTAGCAACAGCGCCAATCTCCTCCTTTCGGCAAAACCGCGAAACGTCTGGTGACATACATAACCTGGCAAACGGCTGTCATAATGAGTAAAATATGTTATATTAAAAAACTTTTTTTTTGTTATTTTCGTGATTGGTAAATCTTAGGTCGTGTATTTTTTAGCGTTTATTAATTTTCCAAATGGAAATTGCATTTTTGATTGTAATTTCTGAGAAAGTACTGTTACAGTTTTTGTGAAAAAGTGCTCATATTTAATTTATTGACATGAAATTTTTTTTATTATTTTAACTCAAAAAAAGTTTTAGCTGGTGTATATCTTGCTAATAATCAATTATCCATAAAGGAAAAAGCATTTTACCTTTTTGTTTTCAAGAAAAGGCTGTTGAAAATTTTCCAAAATTTTAGTTTCAATGTAGATGGCGCTGCCTCACTTGGACCTGGCCTTAAAACTAATACTTTTCATCAAATATAGCAAATATCTAGCTGCAATAGCAAATAACTTGGTGTATCAGCTAAATCGTTAGCACAAACAGCTATAATTTCAGCTACTGCATATTTGCTACTATAGCTAAATCATTTTTCTCCGTGTAACTCCTTAAAATTTTTTTCCACGAAAAAAAAAAGATTACCAATATAAATATGACGCAATTTTAATGCAATATACATTACGCTCATATAAAAAAAATGGAATGACCCATATTGGGCATTCCACGTGAAGTTTCAATTCAAAAAAAAAAAAAATTTGTTCACTGAATTAATTATTTTTCTAATTATTTGTTTTTAAAAATACAAAAAATTAAAAATTTTTTTTTCGTATTTCTATTCACTTTTAACATTAACTGAATGGCAATATCATACTGGATGCAGATGAAATCATTACAGATTCCTCTATCTCAGTCCAAGCGAAGGGCCTCCTTTGACCTTGCTTGTCACTCCTTGCAGTGGGCCTATATCCTGGACAGTGAGTTATGTTGACCCCCCTGAAGAAGATCAACAAACCGAAGGGTCGAAATGTGAGTCCCAAAAAAAGACCATGTCTTCACATATACATATATATTACCTATACACTAAATATATATAATATCCTAAGGCACTATACAATTTAATATGCTAAACACAAAACATGATAAAAGTGTATAGTTATAAATTACAATTTCACCTTCAAAATTTTCTCTCGAACCAATTGCTATTCAAAACTATTATTTGTGCATATATAATTATTATATTATTTATTTTTTGAGCAAAATTTTAGAAATGAAAAAAAAAAATTTTTTTTACGAAAAAAAACCAAATAAATTTATTGCTATAACCAAACTATTGGTTAAATTGGTTTGAAAAATTTTTGTGAAATTAAAATAAAACAAATGTTTATTTAGATTAAATAAATTTTGTTTAAATTAACTATAGAAAATTGTGTTAATGCAAAAAAAAAATAATAATATATTGAGTGGCCGTTTATTAGAACCTCACAAAAAATTTCTGCGGTGAGATTCGTTGGCCCATGACACCTCAAAAATTGACTTATAAAAAAATTCTAATATTATTACTCTCTAAATCTGAATTAGTAAAAATGTTTATACACCCAGAGAAATGATTTATTTGAACCAAATAAAATATATTTGAATTAAATAAACGTATATTTGTCTCAGAGCCTACTAACTTATTTATTTGGCGTAAATAAAAATTTTATTTGTCAGAAATAAATTTTTCTTTGGCTCAAATAAATTTTTTATTTCAATGAAATAAAATATATTTGCAACAAATAAATGAGTTAGTAGGCTCGGAGACAAATATACCATTTCTCTGAGTGTACTAATTGTAATTAGTGACTCACTTTTTGCTTCTGAATTAGTAAGTTTTACTAACAATTAGTAAAATTTAATTAATTGTAAAGCAAAAAGTGAGTAACTAATTTAAATTAGTAAACATTTTTACTAATTCAGATGTAGAGAGTACCTTGTAAGAAATTTCCATTTCAACTCGTTCTAAAATGAAAAGTTTTTAATATTTCTGCATGAAATTTACAGAAATTTAAAACTTAAACTATCCTTTTGACGATATGTTATAATTAATATTATTTTTTTTTATTTGAAAAAAGTTATTTATTAATTATTAATTATTTTGTTGTTCAGTGTTTCACTATAGTGAAATTTCTACTCTCTAAATTTGAATTAGTAGTTTTCTACTAAGGGTATTATTTCTTTCACAAATTTCGTAGGTAAAAATTAAAAATTATTGTATTAGTTTGAAATTTTGTTAAATTTTTTTTTTTCCCCTATATAAGGGTAAAAAATCCCTAAACTCAATTTAAAAAAAAAATTGTAAAAATTTAGTGGGGGGGGGGTTGACTATTATTTTTCTAATAAAATTATAACAAAAAAAATAGTTCAAAAAAAGAAATTAATTTGTAAGTAAATTACATTATCTCGTGTAAGTAATATCTATATATTCCTATAAGAGAGAAAAAGTAAGAAAAAGAGAAAACAAAGAAAAAAAAAAGAGAGAGAGAAAGGGTGGAAGCGATGAAAGTAAAATATTTAAAAGCGACCACCCTTACTTTTTAAGAGACTGTCATTCAGTCACGTGAATCCGAGGATTTACGTGCGGACTCCGCTCTCAAATAATTTCGGACCGTCTAGACCGTCTTCAGTCAAGTCAGGCGACTTATTTTCGTGGATCGTGACAAAATTAGAATTTCAAATTGTCAAGACTAAATAAAATTCGGCCTCGTCGCGGAACCTTCTAATGGACTTAAAAGAAGAAAGAGGCAATTAATCACTTGAGGAAATGGAAATTTATTTGCCAAGGTCATTCATCGTGAATATATAATTATTGCAATTGGAACACATTAACCGATTTTCACTTTTTTTTCCATTAATTATTAATTTCTATATAACTTTTCTGATAATAATAAATAAACATATATAATTTATTGTTTTCATCATATTACAATTTATTTATTATTAATTATTCATTTTTTATTAATTTATTTATTACAATTTTTTTATTACATATATATATATACTGATAACAATTATTTAAAAAATATTTATTTGGATCAAATAAATAATTTTTTTCTCAGTGTATATGATGTATTCCACGCCAAAGTGTAAGTCCATCTGCAATTGCATCTCTGATTTTTTTAAGATTTTTTTTTCTTTTAGCACTCATTGAGACTAGCTTCCATGAATTTTTTCAAATTTTTTTAGCAACCCGTTTTCGAGTTAGGGAATTTTGAAAATTGGAGAATTTTCATGACTTTTAATTTTTGAATGCTCATAACTTCCTTAAAAATGCATCAATTTTAAAAGTCTTTTTTTTAAAATGTGTGTTTTTAAACTTACTTTTAAAAAAATCGAAATTTTTTTTAAACGATATTACTATCAAATTTTTGAGTTTTAATGATAAAAACTCATTTTTCCCATTTGAAGTACTGATCGATTTTTTTCAAAAAAACTACTTCTTTTTATACGAAACTTTTAAGCCTAGCTCGATAATGGTCAAACGATATTTAGGGGAATAATGTCAGGGTTGGACACAGTTTTGGTTTTTTGTTTATAAATATTTTGTTTAGATAAATTCAGTCAATTGTGGTATATGGGTGGAAAGATCTACAAAAGAGGAACACTTTTGCTGTGGACAGTAAATTGATTGATCCAAAATTAAAAAAGTTATAAAAATTAAAAAAAAAAATCTATTCAGGGTTGGACTTTTCAGTCAGGGTTGGACACTTTTTGAAAATCGAAACGCATTATTGGTAAAAACGTAAAATAACATTTGTAATGTTTTTTATTCTTATTTTTTCATGTTTATCTTTACTTATTGTTTACAAATTGTAAAGCTTCATGGGTTTAAAAAAGGAATGAACTCAAATTACAAAAAATAACGCTTTATTGTTCCAAATAACTCAATGAAATGATGAACAAAATTTATACAATTTAAGTATTATTTTTCTAATATCTTTGGCACAATTTTGCACTGAAATATCAATAAAATAAAATTTATTTGTATATTTATTTATAAATTGTGTCAAATTCATAATTAATATGGGTGTCCAACCATAACTGTATAAAGTGTCCAACCCTAACTAGAAGCATCATTTTCGAATTGTGCTAGCCATAACCAGACATGTGTCGCGATTCGATTTTTCACTTTTTTTCTTCTTAAATTATGTACCCCACAATACATTCAATAAGCTTACCTTGCCGAATTCTTGCTTTTTTTACACATTTTTTAGGTTTATTCACAAGTCAAACAAAACTTTTTTTCTCTCTTCGATTGCACCGAAGTCACAGGAGACGCTACTTTTGATTCTCCAAAAATGTAATGCCACAAAAAGTTAGGTTACACTACTAGAAGATTCGTCACGTACGCACACAGGTGGCGCTAGTGTTCTTATTTAAAAAAAGCCAAGTGTCCAACCCTGACACTATTCCCCTACTATATTTTCGGAATTTTTCAAAAATTTTTGAATTTTTTAAAAATATTTTTGGTTTTTTTTATACTACGTACTTTTATGTATTTTGATGCGCTGATTACGAAAATCATAGTGTCAAACCCAAAAATTTGATTTTTACGGTGAAAACCATAAAAAAGTCCCAAAATTTATGGTTTTTTTCGTTTATTGGGTAAAATATACAAAATTAAAAAAAATGCATAAGATAAAAAAAATTTATTTCAATAAGATCTATAACTTTTATTTGAAAGTTTTTTTTAATTTTGTATATTTTACCCAATAAACGAAAGAAACCATAAATTTTGGGACTTTTTTATGGTTTTCATTATAAAAATCAAATTATTGGGTATTGTCACTATGATTTTCGTAATCAGCGCATTAAAATACATAAAAGTACGTAGTATAATAAAAACCAAATTTTTTTTAAAAAAATTCAAAAATTTTTGAAAAATTCCGAAAATATAGTAAATATCGTTTGTCCATTATCGAGCTAGGCTTAAAAGTTTCGTATAAAAAGAAGTAGTTTTTTTGAAAAAATTTTGAAAAAATTCGAGCACTACGTCAAATGAGAAAAATTACATTTTATCATTAAAACTGAAAAATTTGATAGTAATATCGTTTAAAAAAAATTTCGAAAAAAAGTACGTTTAAAGCACATTTTGAAAAAAAGACTTAAAATTGATGCATTTTTAAGGAAGTTATGAGCATTCAAAAATTAAAAGTCATGAAAATTCTCCAATTTTAAAAATTCCATAACTCGAAAACGACTTGTTAAAAAAATTTGAAAAAATTCATGGAAGCTAGTCTAAATTAGTACTAAAAGAAAAAAAAATTGGAGATGCAATTGCAGATACACTTTGGCGTGGAATACATGATATATTAAAAAAATAAAAAATAAAAATAGTGCGTTATAAAATGAAGACAAAACGATATAAATAATATTGTGTATCTGCATAAATAGTGGTGCAGACAAGATGGCCAGTGAAAAATTTAGTACAGAGTTCACCGCTGTTTACCTATAAAGGCCCGGAAGCGCAGAATTTTTCAATTCCAAGAGTGCGAGCAGGTCTTTACCGGTTCAAGATCAAATCCCTCGAGTCCCCATACCCAAAGAGTGAATCTCCAAACACGGTTCTTCTCTTTGCAACATCCAATGCCCTGGATCATCTTCCAGGCTCGTTTGAGAACCTTAAAGGAAAACGCAATTATTCTCTTCGATTCCAACAACGCAGAAGAAAACGTCGTCTCACGGTTTCTTGGAGCAAGAGGTACTCTATTTTTCTTTATATATCCATTATCGTTTTTTTATCCGCATTTTTTTTTTTTTTTTTTTTTTGTATTTCACTCTCGCATTTTATCGTGGAAACTAAATCACAATTGATTCTGTAAGAAAGAAAAAACACATTTAAAAAAATTATTATTTTTTAATTATTGGTCAGTATTTATATTTATTATATATGAGGCGCATGATTATTCCAACAAAAATCATTAATTAGAATTTTTATTTTAAAGTATTTTATAAGAAATATAATTATTTTTTAGACGAATTTTTCAATTTTCCAATTAAAATTTAACAGATTTTTTTCTTTTTATACGAAATTTTTACATTACAAAATTTTTAGCTATCGAATTTTTATTTTATACAGTCATTTTCTTTATATGATTTTTTATTTAAAAGAATTTTAATTTAATCGAATTCTCATTCAATGGAATTTTATGTGTGATTCGAATTTTTTAATGACAGAAATTCCAATTCATCCAATTTTAATTTGTCCGAATTTTTAAGACGCCGAATTTTCATTTGTCCGAAATTACAAACGGCCGAACAAACAATCAACAGAAATATTTCGGCGCAATTTTTAAAATTGACCAATCACAATTTTCTTGATAATTTCTAATAGGTCAATTTTAAAAATTTGCGCCGAAATATTTCTGTCGATTATTTGTTCGGCCATTTGTAATTTCGGACAAATGAAAATTCGGCGTCTTAAAAATTCGGACAAAATATATGTATTATTATTATTATAATATTAAATACTACACTGAAAAAAAAATTATTTGATTCAAATAATCGGTTTCTTGGTTATTATTATATAAATATTTACTTGAACCAAATAAATTTATTTTTCAGTATAGAGAATGTTAAAAAAATGTGTTTTTTTTCATTGGAAACTTATAAATAATTATTAAATTTTTATTAATATACATACCTTATAATTATTAAAAAAAAATAATAAAAATTTGATTTATTGTTTTTTTTTCTGTAATTTTTTTTTTTTTTACAACAGCCAAGATTCCCATTTGTCGAGTTATTGTTTAGTGGTAACATCAGGAGTACAATATCACCCTTCCACTTTATGTGCGGCGAAAAATTTTTTACAAAATCGTCCCCGTGTCACGAGAGGAAGTTCTTTTCAAGAACAGCAATATAGAGGTGTACCGGAAGGCTTGCATTGCGTACGTCAAACGAAACTGACACTTCATGGAATGAAATACAACACTAATTACAACTTTACACTATATGTGGTCAGTGACTCAACCACTTTTCTTCTTATTTCAAACGATTTCAGAAGCAAAACGTTTCGTAATAATATATACATACATGCGTTTCATTCATAACTATTATATTTATGTTTTCAATTTTTTTTTCTCTCACCGACAAAAGAAAAACAATTTTATGCGTATAATACAATAAAGCATTAAAAATTTTTTTTTTTTTTTTATAAGCTCAAAACATTTCTTGAATGGAAAATATTTTCAGTTATATAGTAAAATTTTTATAAACATTTTTTTGTTATTTCTTATATGGGGCATTGCACATTAGATTTTCATTCAATTTTATTTTTTTTCCGCAATGTTTATGAAAAATAAGAAAATACGTATTTTTTTAATGTTTTTATTTGATAAAAATTATGAAAATTATGATTTTTTCTAAATTTAACGTCGTCAGAAGCCGAATACTTTTGAAAAACGTTTTTTCTCTGTATAAAGATAACAAAAAATATATATAAAAATTTGTTCGTTTTTTATTTTAATACATATTTAAAATATTAAAGAAAAATCGAACAAATTTTTTATCTAGGGTCAACTGGGGTAAATCCGAACGCTTTTAGTAAGTTTCAACAATAACATAAGTTTTTTCTTTAAAAAAAAATACTTCCGGTATTCTGGTGCATGAAGTTGTTACTTTACTTCCATAGAACAATTTTATGGGGTAGAAAAAATTTTTGATAAATTACAATCGCAGGAAACTTAGCGTTCGTATTTACCTCGATACTTTGCAACTTTCCTAAAATATGGGGGTAAATACGAACGCCACTGTATTTCAGAAAAATCTTAGGGAAAATAAATTTAAAGTATTGCAATTGTAAAACTTATATAAAAACTCAAAAAAAATACGATAATAAACCTATTATGTAATAATGCATCATATATAAATACAAAAATCAAACAGGTTAAAAATTAAAATGCATTACACAATTAAAACCTTCAATAACTTTATCAAATCATAACGGATTTTTGCAAAACTTGGTACAGAAAGTATTTTGGAGTGATTGAATGTAAATACAAAAATAAAAGTCAAATTTTTTAAATTCAAAATGGCGTACTTTCCTAAAACTTATTTTTAAAAATGATCAAATTTGCTAACCCTGAAACCCCCCGAGTAACAATTTTCGAGCGAATCCAATGAATTTTTTAATTCTCGTCCGCCATTTTGAATTTTGAAAAACTGACTTCAAATTGGTAATTAGCGACCCCAAAAACCGTAGAATACCAAATTTTATTAAGATCCTGAAAAACTTTTTTCAACAAACCATTTGGCAAAAAAATTGAAACATTCCTTCGAGAGAACAGAGATTAAGTTTCTGCTTATTAATTACTAACGAGGATACGTATAGAAAGAAAAACTTTTTTCTATGTACTTTTATAATGTTAAAATAATAGTGTAATCAAATAAAAACAATTTTGTGTGGCTTTGATGTAAAAAAAAATTATTAAAAATACCGTTCGGATTTACCCCAGTTTTCCAATTTTTTTGGGTAAATACGAACGGTCTGATATTATTAATAAAATTTTACAGAAGGCAAAAATCAAATATAGTTTCTGTTCTAGTATTCATAACAAACAATTATAAATAATAAAATGAATTTTTAGCTTCTTTTTCTTCAAATACGAGACAAAATACTGAAAGAGTGTCATCTTTGATTTTCAATCTTTTTTGCAATACTTGTTATCTTTGTTTATGCTGTTGCTAATTAACAAACAAAAAATGGGATAATACTTAGAATCTCTTCGAGAGGATCTGAGGTAAAAATTCTCATATCGAACTTATTTTTAAAAATTTTAATTAAGCTGAAATAATTAGCGTTCGGATTTACCCCCCGTTCGGATTTACCCCGACTGACCCTATATTAGTAGGACAGAGAAAAACGCATTTAAAAATTATTCGGCTCCTGACGACGTTAAATTTAAAAAAATCATAACTTTCATAATTTTTATCAAGTTAAAAAAATTAAAAAATTACGTATTTTCTTATTTTTCATAAAGATTTCGAAAAAAAATATTCTGGACAAAAAAAAATGTTGAATAAAAATCTCACATGGAATGCCCCATATATATTATTTTTTTTTAATTTAATAAAATTTACAGCAATTTAATATTTTTTCAATTTTATATTTATTTGAAAATTATATTAGTAATAATAATTTATTATTAGGAAGCTAAAATAATAAAATGGAAATAAAAAATAAATATTAATAATAATAATAGTAGAAATTTCTAAAATAAAGTTAGTCTAAAAAAACTTTATTTGAAATAAATTTCATTTTTAGGTCAATATGAGAAATAATGTATCAAATTTGGTCGCCTCGGATATGTTGAAATTTCGCAAAACACCAACGCAAACTTTATTCAATGGACGATACACGACTGTAGATTTAAAAAAAAGTGACGGACTAATTAATTTTCAATACGTGCCACAAGGAAATACAACAACAATGTTTCATATTTTGCCATGTGGTGGTGGTATCGTTACAGCAAAACTAAGAGCCAATGGCATTGTTCCTCAGGTAAAATAAAATACATCAACAATAACTGTAATTTACAATTTTTTTTTATGTATTCAAATTGTTTTTTTTCTTTGAAATTAAATTTTCAATTTTTTTTTTTACTTATTTTACTATAAAGCCAAATTTCCATTTAGCCAAATTTTATGAAGTCAAATATGCATATTGAACCGAATTTTGGTTGTTAAATAAATATAATTTCTATATTTTATTAAAATTTATTTTACGAATAGAAATAAATAAACTTTAGAAAAAATTCATTTCAAATCAGGTACTCTCTAAATCTGAATTAGTAAAAATGTTTACTAATTGAAATTAGTGACTCACTTTTTGCTTTAGAATTAGTTAAATTTTACTAATTGTTAGTAAAAGTTACTAATAATTAGTAAAATTTTACTAATTCAGAAGCAAAAAGTGAGTCACTAATTTCAATTAGTAAACATTTTTACTAATTCAGATTTAGAGAGTTGGCTGAAACGCCGTTTATCTAAAATTTAGGGAAAAAAAACTTTAAAGTGTTATAACTTTTAAAGTAATTTAGATGTCTCATTTTTTCTTTTTGCATTTGAAAGAGCTTTCATTCTTCTTTCAAAATCCGTTGGAAAAATTAAAAAATGTTCAAAAATAACAAAATGGCGGCCATTTCAATAAAAAAAAATTTTGAGTAATTTAAATTAAAATTTTTTTATTGAAATGGCCGCCATTTTGTTATTTTTGAACATTTTTTAATTTTTCCAACGGATATTGAAAGAAAAATGAAAGCTCTTTCAAATGCAAAAAGAAAAAATGAGACATCTAAATTACTTTGAAAGTTATAACACTTTAAAGTTTTTTTTCCCTAAATTTTAGATAAACGGCGTTTCAGCCTACCGGATTTGAAATGAATTTGGTCTTTATAAAATAGAATTTAGAGATTATACATATTATATATATATATATATATATACATGCGTTCCTTTCTTACAATAAAAATAATAATAATTAGATTATTAGTTTTACTGTTTTTAATTACTATATAAAATTATTCTTACTACTTCAGGTCGCAGAAGTAATTGGCCATGCTGCAATAAAAGCACCACCATTACCACCAGGAAAACAATATACTTTGAGAGTTTCGGCAACTCCACACGAGAAAATATCTCTCATCAAAGTTCTTGCGACAGATGAAGGTTCAATTTCATATCCAGAGGTATGATATTTATATACAAAAAAAAAACGTTAAAACTGTTTTGAATTTCAAAAATTAAAATGACAAAATTTAGGGATACTTAAAAAAAATTTTAATTTAAAACAAAATCATCACATTACATTAGTTATTATTAGATGTATATTTACTCTGGACTTTTCAGTGTTTCCGATTAACCTCCATGAAGTTGGCGTCGACGCTCGAAAATTATTTTTTATGGGACCAAAAATATCAAAACATTTTTTAAAACGTTTTTGAAAATGCCTTGAGAAGTATCTTTCAAGGAATTATTTGGAATGAACAATTAAAAAAAAAAATAATTTGAAATTTATTATTCTGCGAAAAACAATTTTCAGAGCTGAGCGTAGAAGCTAACTTCAGAGAGGTGTTGATTACAAATCTGCAAATATTAAATTTGTAATTAGTGACACCAAAAACTCACTTAAAATCGGATCAATTCTATGTATTTAAAATAATACTTAGTATTACTACTTAGTCTTGGATTTTTCTCAAAATTCGATAAATTGTAGTTATGATGTTAAATAAGTTTACAAATTTTGAATTTGACATTTTTAAAATATTTTTGCACATATTTACAATAACAAATTTTAGCAATATTTTTTCGCTTTACTTATAACTAAAAAAGTGGCAAAAAAAGTAAAAAAAAAATGGCTAAAATCGCTAAAATTTGTTAGTGTAATTATCTGCAAAAATATTTAAAAATTTCAAATTCAAAATTTTTACACATTCATTTTAGCACATCAGTACCACTACAAATTTACCGAATTTTGAGAAAAATCCGAGTCTTTTCACATATGAAAGTGTCTCATGTTTAAAATTTTTTTTTAATTTCTGATGATATATAAATATATAGTTGTCATCAAAAAGTGTGCCATGGGAATTTCGATCAATGCGAAAATGTCATCAAGTGACAGTTGGCGTGGAACCAGCGGGAGCAGCGAAATATTGTGTTTTGGTACGCGAAGCACGTGGACCAATTGGAATATCGAGTGTTACATTTCCTGATCAATGTGGATTACAACGTCGACGTCGACAATCGGAATATACATATCAGGAATGTGAGGAAAAAAATAGTATCTCAAAAGAAAGGGCATTACCATTTACTGTGAGAAAACTTGAACCAGGAAAGGAATATTTAGTTCAAATCACAGCTGAACTTAAAGGGCAATATCTATCATATCCTCTTCTTGGCGTCAGAACAAAACGCTCATGTTTGCCTTGAATATGCAAACTTCATTATATATAAATGCGAAACTGAGAGTTTCAAAATTTTTTCTTTGTAATTTATATTATGAATTATATAGAGGAGAGTGACCAACAATGGGGGACACTTTAATTTTCTAAAAAAAATTAATTAAAGAAACTCGACCAAAATTTAAATATAAACCATGTTTATGACAACACACTATCTCCAAAAATTTTAGCCACATTGATTTGATATTTACAAAGAAAATTGAAAAAATCAATTTTTCACATTTTTTTAATTACGCAGAGAATATATATCAGAAGTTCTCTGAACGTTCAAATGAACAAAAAATTTGTTTACTACTTTTTTTTAATTTAAAATTAATTATAAAATAATGCTTTTCATTTCCAAAAAATAAATAATTTATTAAATATTTAATGCATTTTTTTTATTTTTCATTGATGTAGTAATTTTTAATAAAATTTATTGATCACAAAAATTATTTCGTTCATTTGATCATTCAGAATTTCAGGCACATCGTAAAGAAATTTTTTTCTAACCAAACATGTGTACGTCGGCATGAAAAGGGACAAATTTTGTCGATTACAATAAGGATTATTTTTGCGTGAACATTAATGCAAATATCGCACTTATGAAAGAAACTAAAGTGGTCCCTTTTCATGCGGACATGCACATATATATGTGGCATTTTACGTGTAATGTCCTGAGTTAAAAACTTGATTTCTCGAAAAAAAGTGAAACTTGGGGAAATTGTTGTCCTACCTGATAGTAAAATATTCCCAAAAAAGTTTTTGACTTGCAATAAAAAAAATTTTGGCAATTATGTTTTTTGATGGTTTTTTTATGCTCTTTCCAATCGTGAATTTCGTTTTTTTAAATTTTTTAATTTTGACCTTGATTTTCTATAATTAAACATAAATTTGCTATTTTCACTAAAATCGGTGTGTATTTTTTTAAAATAAATAATTGCAAACGAAAGCTGAGGTTTTTTCCGATCTGTATAAAAATTTTTCACAGTAAACTTGGTTGTATCTTTTTCTATTGCAATGTTTTGATGCACATAAGTTATATATCAAAAAGAGATCGTTTTGTGTATCATTTTTAGAAATGATACACGAAACGGTCTCATTTTTTGATGCAAAAAATTTAATCAATTTATATCAATCATGGCCGAATTGAATCGACTCAAAATTAAAGGAATTTTTTTCAGATATTTTGGTAATAGTACAATTGCGGAGACCATTTCACTATTTAATTTGAAAATGAAAATAACAGAAAATCAAAGACAATGTGCAATTCGATAATTAAAAAGTGACAGCTTATAAACATAACCTAAAATGCATGAGAAAAAATTTGTCGATAAAATCAATATAGCCGAGCTTTTTAGAAGGTAGATGGCAGCACTCATCTATTTTCTTTCTTTAAAGTTTTTCTGAATCGTTTTTATAAAAAGCAAAACTGCCATCTACCTTCTAAAAAGCTCGGCTATATTGATTTTATCGACAAATTTTTTCTCATGCATTTTAGGTTATGTTTATAAGCTGTCACTTTTTAATTATCGAATTGCACATTGTCTTTGATTTTCTGTTATTTTCATTTTCAAATTAAATAGTGAAATGGTCTCCGCAATTGTACTATTACCAAAATATCTGAAAAAAATTCGTTTAATTTTGAGTCGATTCAATTCGGCCATGATTGATATAAATTGATTAAATTTTTTGCATCAAAAAATGAGACCGTTTCGAGTATAATTTCTAAAAATGATACACAAAACGATCTCTTTTTGATATAACTTATGTGCATCAAAACGTTGCAAAGATTTGATGCAATTTTTGGTCTCAATTTGATACTTTTAGGAAAACTGTGTTAACATTTAATACCTCGAAAACAAAAAAAATCGGCATTCTGAAAATTTATATACAGATCGGATAAAAACCTCAGCTTTCGTTTGCAATTATTTATTTTAAAAAAAACGCACCGATTTTAGTGAAAATAGCAAATTTATGTTTAATTATAGAAAATCAAGGTCAAAATTCAAAAATTTTAAAAAACGAAATTTACCATTGGAAAGAGCATGAAAAAACCTTCAAAAAACATACTTGCCAAAATTTTTTTTATTGCATTTATAGATAGAAAAAATTCAAATAGTAGGCGGTGTCAGAGAAAATTGATAAAATTGACCCCCCTCTATCTTCCCCAAAAATTTCAAAAAAGTTAAAAATTTCTTTTGGGATATTTTACTATCAGGTAGGACCAAGAAGACTAGAACAAGGAGAGTGAACTAAGCTCAAATTGTACAGTGTATAGGGGGAGTAGATATTGGCACTGCTGTAGGCTGTCCAACGAAATTTGATAGATGACCGTGAGACGAATTTTAGTATCTGCGCATACATAAATATATACAGATATGTTCAATTCTAACCTAAAAACCTTTAATATTTTCGATTTACATACTAAATAAAATTAAATCACAGATAATTATAAACAATCTTATTATATTCGAAATAAAACATTTATTCCCTTTTCTGCAGTGAAAACATATTTATATTTTAATAAATTAAAAAAACTAACCTCATTTTTTGGAAAAGAAAACATCTGTTTCTTATTGTTATTTTCACTATTTTCACTTGCACATAAAGAACTGCTCCTGCAGTTCTTAACACAACAAATTCGCCCCGTTGTTCACTTTAAAAAATTTACACTATTAATTAAAAATTTCTCACTTTGATTAAAAATACTGAATATAAAAACACCGCAAAAACAAAACACAGGAAAACAAATCAACGATATAAAAATATGCATGTGTTAGTATGCGCAGATACTGAAATTCGTCTCACGGTCATGTATCAAAATTTCGTTGGACAGCCTACTGTTAGGCACACTATCTCTTCCATCCCCACCACTGTACTTTGCTCTCCTTGTTCTAGTCTTCTTGGGTAGGACAACAATTTCCCCAAGTTTCACTTTTTTTCGAGAAATCAATTTTTTAACTCAGGACATTACACGTAAAATGCCTCATATTCATAATATAAATTTGCAGAATTAATTATTTTTTAAGAAAATGGAAAATTTTTTTTTTGCTTTTTTTCAATTTCAAAAATAAGAATATAAATATTTTTATATATGTTAGTAGTTCTTTCAAAATTTCGATTTATTGATAGATTCGACATGTTCGCCTACAAAGTCATGCGATTTTCTCTATATAAAGAAATTATTAGAATTTATTTTTATAAAATCCTTTTTTTCGTCAAAAATTTATTTTTCTTTTGAAAAAGAATTTAACATTTAAAAAAACATTTAACACTTCTTCTCATTTTATTTGTTTTTTTTATATGTTCGATTTTCAAAATTTTTGCTAAGTTTGCTAAATTTTCATAAAGACTATAAATAATTTTGTAAATTTTGTTTCACTTTTTTTTAAGACAAATGATAATAAAAATGAGTATTTGAAATACAAGTAGAGGCTAGACTTTTTTCTACTTAAAAATAACATTAATAATAATAATATTCGTTCCAAATTCTATAAGACTTATAGTTTTGTACTTTAACATTAATTTTAATCAATACACGCGTATTATATTAAACGTATATAATAATAATTATAGAATTTAATTTCAAAAAGACAAATTACATATATAGAAACATTATAGTTTAAAAATTACGGGAAAAAAATTTATTTTACTAGAACAAAATAATTTGAACAAAATTATTAGTATTCATTTCAAAAGTGATTAATTGGCAAAATTAATAATTATAAATTGTTATTATAGTTATATAAGATTTTGTTGAAAAAGTAAAAATTAGAAAAAAAAATGTTATATTAATTCAAAATTATTAAAAATAAAAAAAGTGAGTTGTAGTTAATAGAAAAAAAGTTATTAATGAAATTAATGTTAACTAATTAAAAAATTTGTTAATTATTATTTTTAAAAATGTACAATCAATTAAAAAAGTAAAATAATTAAAAAAAACATTCTTTATCTAAACTTTGTTAATTAATGTACTACGAAAATATATAAAAATTATAAATTAAATGTATACATGGAAAAAGAATCTTTATCTAGAACAACGATAACTTTCGTTGGAACAGAGATATATTTTTCTCTAGAATAGAGAAAACTTTTGCTGTTTTAGTGAAATATATCACTGTTCGAGGTGAAGATTTTTTTTGCGTTTAATTATTTAAAAATTTATCAGTTAAAAATTGTTAAATGAAAAACGTTATTAGGTAGATAAAATTTTATCAATCAAAATTTGATTGGTTCAAACTAAATTTTCTCAGTATAGAATCAATCGAATTTTTATGATGAAATATATCAAGAAAAATTTTTTTTTCATTAAACTGAGCTGTTTTCTGACTGTATTAATTATAACATAAGAACGACATTTAATTAAGTTTCAACAAAACAAATATTTATTTACCTTCTTCAAAATACAAGAAAACTTTCAGTATCAATCCTCCACAATTATATTATTATTATTAATTATTTTTATTATTATTATTATTATTATTATTAATTATTATTACTATTATTAATTATTATTATTCTCATTATAATTAGAATTATATAAATATATCTTTGCTCGATTGGACTACATTGTACATATACATAAAAAAAAAATGTGTAATTGTGTGTGCATGTGTGTATGTGAAAATAAATCTGTGAATTTGAAAATCACATTTGTAATTTTGTGAAACAAGCATTAAACTATAGATTATTCTTCTCTCTTGAGTTAAAAGCAGAAACAAACAAATCTTTGTAAATACAGATTGCTTATAAATTCAGTAGTTAAAGACTGTATTGGCCAGACAGTTGAAAATAAACCGTATTTTAATGAGACAATACAATCGTCTAATTAAAAAAAAATCGCTATTTCTAAATGTACACTTCATTTTGTTATTATAAATGTCAAACTAAATTGAAATTGCAAATTTTTAATAAAAATGAATTTATTTAAATACAATTCTTTTTTTTATAAATAATTATTCAATTTTTTTTTCTTTTAAAATGTTTTATTTGTGCGTAAAGAAATATATTTAAATCTAAGATAATTTTTAAATAAAAAATAAATAAAAAATATCAGTATTAATACGATTAATTAATCAAATTATCATTTATTATTAAACAAATTATTATTTAATTAACATCAATAATAGTCCAATTAATTAAATTTTTATTATAATAATAAATATTTCAACAATTTTATTAAATATAATTATTTTTTACACGAATATTAATTTTTTGAATTAACATTTGTCAGAATTTCTTTTTTAAAGAATTTTTAATTCACAAAATTTTTAGGCACCCAATTTTCATTTGCTAGAATTTTTAAAACGCTGAATATTCATTTGTCCGAAATTGCAAATCGCCGAAAAAACAATCGACAGAAAGATTTAGGCGCGATTTTTAAAATCTGCCAATCACGATTTTTTTTTGACAATTTTTGATTGGTGGATTTTAAAATCGCGCCGAAATCTTTCTGTCGATTGTTTTTTCGGCCATTTACAATTTCGGACAAATAAAAATTCGTCGTTTTAAAAATTCTGAAGCATAAAAATTCGATACATAAGAATTCTGTTAAGTAAAAAATTTGTTTAAAAAGTAATTCTGTCAAATGTTAAATCGAAAAATAAAAATTCGTCTAAAAAATAATTATATCTAATAAAATTCTTTAAAATTTTAACTAATGATTTTTATGGATCGCCCACTTATTATTTTATAATTATTGCTGCAATTTTTAAAAATAACTTTTGCAAATGTCCATTTAATAAAAAATCTATTTTAAATCATTTCATTCTTTGACCTTCCATATATAATTATATATAATTGTGTGTATGCACATGCACCATCTGTCATTGTTTTACAAGCATTATTTGTCGACAGATTGCGTTATCTATAATGTAGAAAATAAAATTAAAAAAAATTAATATTTAGGTATAAAAGAAAATTTTAGATTCTAATCATTTCAGTAGTGTTTTTGAACTCAAATATTAAATACAAAATTATATATAATTACACATTAAACATTATTGAAAAAAAAATTAAATAACATTTATAAGTTAATAATAACAATAATAATAATGCTCTTCAATATTAATTTATCTCAATAAAATTATATTAAAAATTTTTATCATTAAAAAAAAAAATTTGTTTTAAATGTTGAAAAAAATATATGGAGTTTTTGAATCGTCATTAATTTGTTTTGAAAATGAAAGTAAAATTATTTTTCAATTAATAATTTGGCCAATAGTAATTATTGGAGTGTTGGCAAATTTAGGAGTTTTATGGAGAATTTTTATTACCTCAAATGGAAAAAAATCATTTCTAAAACCATTTTATCGTTCGGCATTATTATCATACGCTTTCTCAGATATTTTACTACTTTCATGCTCTTCGGCAAATACTCTCAGTTTTTTACAAACTGGTAAACGTCTATGGATGCTTCCTGATTGGTCCTGTTCGTTAATACCATTTATTCAAACTGTTGCTGTTCTTGTTGGCTCATTAACACTCGCCGGCATTGCAATTGATCGGTAATATTTTTATTATTTTATTATTATTATTATTATTATTATTATTGTCAATTTTTATTAATAATAACAATTATTATAATATTTCATTTTAACTATAAGATTAAAATGTTTATTTTTAAATAGGAGCCAAAAGTTTTGAACGCTCAAATGAACAAAATTTATTTTGCAACTTCTTTAAGTACGAATTTTATTACAAAACTAGCAAAATTAAACGCGCGCAAAATTGAGTATTTAATTGTTTGTTATAAAGAAATTAAAGATTAATATTATCAATAATAATTTAATTTATTAGAATATTATTACATATTAAATGATAATAATGAAAATTATATATTTTCAGGCCTTGGATTATACGACTTTTTCCGACTTTTTTTTCAAAAATACGACTTTTATCGACTTATTTTAATAAAATGCGACATTTTTTTTACATTTGAAAAAAAATGTAAATAAAATAAATTTTTTTTACTATAAAATGTAGATCTTCTTCAGATCTTCTTCAATTCAATTATTTAACAAATTTTCAACTAAATTGATTCTTCACTAAATTAATTAATAATTTTAATGAAATACATCACAAATTCAATTATATCAAAATTATTTTTCAATTAAAATTTTTATGAAATTTAACAATTATTTATAATTAAAAAAAAATATCACAATAAAATTGAATTATTTTTTAAAAATTTCAATTCAAAATAAACTAAAATTCAATTATTACAAGAAATTTTAATTCAAAATCAATTAAAATTCAATAATTATCCATAATTTTCAATTTAAAATTTAATTATTTACAAAATTTTCAATCAAAAATGAACTTAAATTAAATTATTATCCAAAATTTCAATTAAAATTCAATTATTTCCCAAAATTTTCAATTCAAAATGAACTGAAATTCAATTATTTTCCAAATTTAAAATCAAATAAAATTTAATTATTCTCAAAAATTTGAATTCAAAATTAATTGAATTTTCCATAATTTGAATTTAAAAGCATCTAAAATTTATTTATTTCTAAAATTTTCCATCGAAAAATTTTTTTTTTAAATTTAATAATTTCAATTATAACTCTAAGGAAATTCAATTATTTTTAACTATTTTAATAATATTCTTTGAAAATTCAACTATGTGAAACCATTTTTCAATTAAAAATGATTTTCAAATTATTGTATTTTGTCCGCATTTTCTAATAAATTTTTAGTGAAATCATCTAAAATTTTAATTACAGAACACTTAAAGTTTCAATTAATTTCAAAAATCTCAATTTTAAATCTTTAAAAATTCAATTAAATTTAAAAAATGTTTTACAAAAATTATTTGATAAATTATTTTTAGTTCTGTAAAATTTAATAATTATTTGAAAATTAACAATATCTTTTGAAATTTAGTTATTTCTTAAAATTTCAACTTTAACCCTTCGAAAAGGATTATTATTAAAAAAAAATTTTTTTATTTAAAAATCTGTAAAATATTTTTGTTAAAATAAAAAAAAAAACAAATCCACTTTTTTTGGAATATAAATCGACTAAAACGACTTTGTTCAACCTTAACAATCTGAATAATCTTGGTTCTTTTGCAAAGGCGGCTGAGTCTAGTTTTTTTTGTTAGTTTGTTAAAAGAATTCACTAATCACATTAAATTAAAAACTGTTGTTTATTTCATTAAAAATTACATAAAATAAATATTAAACTTTGAAGCAGATTTCATTGAAAATAATTCGTATAAATTTCGCGTCTGTTTTGTTGTTGTGCTCGTCAGGAACTGACTCTCTGCTTTCGTCTTTTCATTACCAAAAACATATTATAGAAATTTCCCTTTCCATTCGTTGTACAATTTTCATTCTTTCACACATTCGCTACGCGACAGACTTTTTGTGTCTTTAAGTTGATTCGAGGCCTGTGTTTTTATAATTAATATTTAATAGGTATTCGTTGGCCCCTGGTACCTTAAAAATTAACTTTTAAAAATAAATTTTTTTCAAATTACTATCTTGTACGAAATTTCCTGGCGCATCTTTTTTCTTTTCATAAATTTTTTGTATTTGTATACAATTTTTGAATCAATATACAACTTTAAAAAAAATTTCGTTGGTAAACGTTGTGTACTTCAGCTTCGTGAATTGAATTTTCAAATTTGAAATTTTAAAGAAACTTATTCCGAAATTTGGAAACACAATTATACAACTTTGGCAAAAATGAGAAAAAGAATTGTCAAAATTTGACACGTTATAAGATTACTATTCAAAAAAAACACGTGAAATCAGAAAAGGCCAACTTCAAGTTAGGACAGAAGGACAGACCAAGCATTTTATTATTATATAATATTGTTTTAAATATCTTAACGAGAAAAATTTTAATTTAATATTTATTTAATTTACTATTTAATTTTACATTGACATTTTATAGTTTTTAATAATTTATAGATTGAAAAAAATATTTTGTTCATTTGAACGTTCAAAACTTTTGGCTCATTCCAAAATTATATTATTAAATTTAGAATATTGTTTTTTTTGGTGTAAGTAATTATTTAATTTTTTTTAAAGATATGCAGCAATGAAACCAAAGCATTCAACAATTAAAGGAGAAAAATGGACTTCTGCAATTCTTTTTATTTTTGCTATTTGGTTAATCGCTATTGGAGCTTCCTATCCAATTTTACAAATTTATGAAATTGCAACTGTGATTGTTGTTAATGATGACAGTTATTACACGTAAATATAATAATGATTATTTCCATATTTTTTATGTTTATTGTTCCTTTTTTAAATTTAATATTTTTTAATATAATAAATAATAATAATAAGAATATTTATTACTTAATAATAATTTTCCTCTTATTTTCATGTTTTTTTTCATATGCTTATATAAAATATAAATTAAAGAAAATTAATAATATCTTAAAAAAATGAAAAGAAAATTGTAATTTTCAATTTTTTTTTTTTTACAAAATTGAATTTTCTTTTTATCATGAGGCTTAATATTATATTTTCTGTATTAAGTATTTATTAGCAATTTTCTACCTTATCTAATTGCGTGAGAATCTTTTAAATTGTCCTAAAACAATAAATCATTGTTCTTTTTTTTCCTTAAAAAAAAAAATAATAAAAAAAATGAATAAAAACAGAGGGAAATTATGCGTGACATTTAATATCAATAAGGCAGCATATGCATACACTTGGCTCTTCGTTACAATATTTCTTCCCCTGGCTACAGTTTTTGTACTTGTGCACGTACTTCTTGCTCTAAATATTTCTCAACGAAAAGGACTCATGGGAAAATCTCATATTTCTACTAATCGAGAGACTCGGTCAAATACTCTTTCTATAGGTAATAATCGTATTTTAATTTAATATTAATATAATAAAAATAATAATAAAAATAATAATAAAAATAATAATAATAATAAAATAATGATATTGGTAAGAATTTCTGAAATATAAACCAAAAGTTTTGAACGTTCAAATGAACAAAATTTTTTTTGTAACTTCTTTAAATATGAATTTTATTACAAAATATTGTTTTAAATATCTAAAAATAAATTATTAATTTAATATTAGTTTAATTTACTGTTTTATTTTACATTGACATTATAATTTTTAATAATTTACAGATTGGAAAAAAAAATTTTGTTCATTTGAACGTTCAAAACTTTTGGCTCATTCTGAAATGTGCTACTTAAACCTGAAAAAATTTATTTTTTGTTGAAATGTTATTTTTCTTATAGTATTTTATATGCATAATCGGGCCTAAAAGGATTTTGTAAAAAAAAATTTGTTGTTATTGTTGTTATTTTGTTGTTATTAACAATTTAATATTTTTGACCCATTTTTTAAAAAAATTAATTTCAAAGAAATTAATTGATCGATTTTAGTGATCTAAACGGCATTCTTCTTGTCTTGAACCATAGTTTTATTGATATTTTTTTGGTGCAAAAATATTGATTTTTATTGCAAAAAAAAAATTGTTTATTTATAAACAAATAGTAAAAAAAACATGAAAACAATCGAATTTCAAAATGAAAAAAATAGATGTCCAGGAAGTTAGCACCGCAAATTATTTTTTTTGAAAAAAAAAATTGTGCTGAATTGTGCTAGGTTTGTGCTATATTGTGCCGCAAAAATTTTTTTTTAATTATTATTTTTTCTAAAAAAAATTGTGATTAGTTGTGCTAGCGGAGCACAGTAAAAGAAAGTCTTCATAAACTTTGGCCTAAAATAATGTTTTCCATGGAAGATCATGATTTATCTAATTAAAAATGTTATTGATTAACAAAAATGTTTAAAAATGAGAATTATAAGAAATAAAATGTTGTGCTGACTTGTGCTAACCGAACACAGTAAATAAATCTTGATAAACTTTTCCCTAAAATAATGTTTTCCATGGAAAATCATGATTTTTCTAATTAAAAATTTTTTTGATTAACAAAAATGTTTAAAAAGTAGAATTATAAAAAATAAAATGTTGTGCTGACTTGTGCTAACCGAGCACAGTAAAAAAGTCTGTAAAAACTTTTCCCTAAATTTCATATTTTCCATAGAAAATTATGATTTTTTAAATTTTTGAATTTTTTTTAACAAAAGTTTTTCAAAAATGAGAATTTTGAAAACATCAAGGGATGTGCCAACTGAGCTTAACAAATGTCCTGAAAAATTATTTTTTCAAAATTAAAATTTCGAAAATGATTTAACATTTATGATTTTTTGCTCTTAGTTTTTTCAAAGAAGAGAAATTTCAAAAATGGAAACTTGTGCTGAGTTGTGCTACTCGAGCTTAACAAAATTCTATAAAAATTATTTTTTAAAAATTAAATTTTTCGAAAATGATTATACATTTATGATTGCAATTAGTTTTTTGACGCTAATTTTTTAAAAAAAGAAATTCGAAAAATGTAATTTTGTTCTGAGTTGAGCTACTGGAAATGAACAACAACTGTTGTTCACAACTGAGCACAACTTTGGGTTATTTAAAATTCTCATTTTTGAAATTTTTGAATTCCAAAAAGTGTGATTTTTCATGGAAAATGTAGATTTCAGGAAAAACATTATTAAGACTTTTTACTGTGCTCGGTTAGCACAACTAAACACAACTTTTTTTTTAAATTTCATGAAAAAAAATTTTTACTTTTAATTTTTTTTTCTAAAGTTAAAAATTTTTTTTTGAAAAGTTTGTTGCTGCACAATGTTGAGCTATGTTAGTGGAATTCAGCACAAGTGAGCACTTTTCAATTTTTAAAGATTGCAGTTTTGGGCCTTATAAAAGTTTTTTGAGTTTTTTAGAAAAAATAAAAACTAAAAAAAAATTTTTTTGCTGCACAATGTAGCACAAATCTAGAACAATTTTCTAAAAGCATTTTAAAATTTTCTAAAAGTATTTTCAAGTCGTGGAAAATATTGTAAAAAGCGAAATTTCCATATATATAAGAAATACTAATCTTTAATAAACTTTTATAAACTTTATACAGGATTTAATAAAATTTTGTATCATTTAATATAATAAATCAAATACGTTCTACTAAATATAATAAATTTCATAAAAGTTTATTAAAGATTAGTATTTCTTATATGGAAGTTTCGCTTTTTACAATATTTTTCACGACTTGAAAATACCTTTTACAAAATTTAAAAATATTTTTATATAAAATTTGGTATTTATTTTCTTTCCGTGTAATCGGCGATGACTTTAATCGAAATATTATAATATCCACATAATAAATATGTTTATTAATGTAAATATTCCCACTCGATTTTTGAAAAATAAATTCATATATGACACGGGGAAAAATTATATAATCAGGTTAAATATCCCCGCATTAAGGCCAGGTCCAAGTGAGGCAGCGCCATCTACATTGAAACTAAAATTTTGGAAAATTTTCAACAGCCTTTTCTTGAAAACAAGAAAGTAAAATGCTTTTTCCTTTATGGATAATTGATTATTAGCAAGATTTACACCAGCTAAAACTTTTTTTGAGTTAAAATAATAAAAAAAATTTCATGTCAATAAATTAAATATGAGCACTTTTTTCACAAAAACTGTAACAGTACTTTCTCAGAAATTACAATCAAAAATGCAATTTCCATTTGGAAAATTAATAAACGCTAAAAAATACACGACCTAAGAATTACCAATCACGAAAATAACAAAAAAAAAAGTTTTTTAACATAACATATTTTACTCATTATGACAGCCGTTTGGCAGGTTATGTATGTCACCAGACGTTTCGCGGTTTTGCCGAAAGGAGGAGATTGGCGCTGTTGCTAACCACCTGAAATACATAATCTACCAAAGGGCTGTCACAATCAGTAAAACAGTGTCCATATGTTAAATATGTAATAAAATTTTTTTTTTGTTATTTTCGTGATTGGTAAATCTTAGGTCGTGTATTTTTTAGCGTTTATTAATTTTCCAAATGGAAATTGCATTTTTGATTGTAATTTCTGAGAAAGTACTGTTACAGTTTTTGTGAAAAAAGTGCTCATATTTAATTTATCGACATGAAATTTTTTTCATTATTTTAACTCAAAAAAAGTTTTAGCTGGTGTATATCTTGCCAATAATCAATTACCCATAAAGGAAAAAGCATTTTACCTTCTTGTTTTCAAGAAAAGGCTGTTGAAAATTTTCTAAAATTTTAGTATCAATGTAGATGGCGCTGCCTCACTTGGACCTGGCCTTAAGAAACAATCTCCCTAAAACTGAGAGCGAGAATCGGCACAAAATAAACAACTCATTGATGATGATATAGAGAGCAACAATGTCGACATCTAAGTGGGAGGTCTTTTCTCAAATTTCATTGAAAATTCTCCATGTTAAACGATGTATATATAATCAAGTTTGCGTTTACAAAAACAAATTGGCAGTTCAAAGTCAATTACAAATTTTGTTTAAAATGTCCAGTTGAATATAACTGCGTGATTCTCAAACTTCCTATTCACATATATACGCCACTTTCCTAAATTCTTTGTTCTCAACTAAAATTTTGTTCTATTTTTAGTATCAAACAGTGGAAACTCATCCAGACATCAGATTAACAATAATAAAAAGTCTTCTCAATGGCCAACGCATATTAAACGTAAAAAGAGAACCCTCAATATTATTTTGATTCTGATTATAGTATTTGCAGTTTGTAGATTGCCACTTTGGATTTTTCTTCTTGTTAAATTACACGTGAGACTCGAGGGAAACTTTTGGTGGTATTTGCAAACTGTATTTTCAACTTTATCCCTTCTCAATGCAACTGTCGATCCTTTTCTCTATGCTTTTTTGAATGAAACTTTATCACTTGTGTCAACAATTTGCTCATGGAAAAAAGGAAATTTTGAAGTCACGTCAATTAACAATAATACAAATGGAAATGAAAGGGAAAATGTAACTGAAAAAGACGCTATTAAAATTATTCCTCGAGGTCCTTATTTACAACAGGATAGAAATAATTGATTCGATTTTTACAATAAATTAAGAAATAATATATCCCAACTAAAAAAGGAAAAAAAATATTGAGAATAAAATATATGAATATTTTTTTTTAATTACTTTTTTAAAATGTAGGAATAAAATGTATGATACATTTAAAAAAAAGTAATTTAAAAAAAATATTCAGAAAATAGTTATTAATAAAAAAAATTGCAAAATTAATTTTACACCCAGTTATTCTTTCAAAATAAGAATATTTTTCTCCAAAGTAGACGGTTTTATTATAATATTATTTTAACAAAAAAAATATTAAAAGCAGAATTAAAAATTATTTCGTTTTTCAATATAGAAATAGTTTATGTGTGCAATGATTAACTTAAAAAAAAATTCATGTTAAGAATGTTAATTATAAATAATAAAAATTTTGTAATTTCAGTTAAGATGAATAAAATTTACATAAATATATACCTATTATATATATCTAATGAAAATTTAATCCCCTCGTTATCTTATTATACCAAATATGCAATAATATATGTGTAAAATTTACCCAAATAAAGAAAACAAATCTATTTTTAGAACCAAATAGTAATATATTATTATTCATATTTTATTGAAAATTTATATATAATTCTACTGTTTCCGGATGCTGAGGTACACTCAAATGAAGTACCGAAAAAATTTCAAAAAATTAAATTCGCGAGATATTTGTTAGGGAATACCGCCAAAGTAATTAGAAGAAAGTTCTGAACAAAAAATGTATGGCACACTTTTTGATTGGTCCAGCGGATGCTGAGCTACACTAGAAAACAAATTTGGAAAAAATTTAGAAAAATTAAATTTGCGAGATAATCGTTCCGGAATACCGCCAATAAAATAGGGAACAAGTTTCGAACAAAAAATGTATAGCGCACTTTTAGATTGGTCCAGCGGATGCTGAGCTACACTTAAATAAATTAATGAAAAATTTTCGAAAAATTAAATTTTCGAGATAATCGCTCCGGAATACCACCAATAAAATAAGGAAAAAGTTTTGAACAAGAAATGTATGGCGTACTTTTTGATTGGTCCAGCGGATGCTGAGCTACACTTAAAATAATTTTCGAAAAATTAAATTCGCGAGATATTTGTTAGGGAATACAGCCAAAGTAATTAGAAGAAAGTTCTGAACAAAAAATGTATGGCGCACTTTTTGATTGGTCCAGCGGATGCTGAGCTACACTAGAAAACAAATTGGGAAAAAATTTAGAAAAATTAAATTTTCGAGCTATTCGCTCTGGAATACCACCAATAAAATAAGGAAAAAGTTTTGAACAAGAAATGTATGGCGTATTTTTTGATTGGTCCAGCGGATCCTGAGCTACGCTTAAAATAATTTTGGAAGAATTTTCGAAAAATAAAATTCGCGAGATATTTGTTAGGGAATACCGCCAAAGTAATTAGAAGAAAGTTCTGAACAAAAAATGTATGGCGCACTTTTTGATTGGTCCAGCAGATGCTGAGCTACACTAGAAAACAAATTTGGAAAAAATTTAGAAAAATTAAATTTGCGAGATAATCGTTCCGGAATACCGCCAATAAAATAGGGAAAAAGTTTCGAACAAAAAATGTATAGCGCACTTTTAGATTGGTCCAGCGGATGCTGAGCTACAATTAAAATAATTTTGGAAAAATTTTCGGAAAATAAAATTTGCGAGATAATCGTTCGGGAATACCCCCAATGTAGTTAGAAGAATGTTCTGACCAAAAAATGTATGGGGCACTCTTTTATTGGACCAGCGGATGCATAGTTGGACATGATAAGACCCAGTAGTTGGAGACTAAGTAAGTAAATTAAATAAAAATTGATTTATTTTGTTATTTTGATTATTTAATATATTAAATAATTGAACTAAAATATAATTAAACTAATTATATTAATTAAATTTTTTAAATTCATTGAGTTAATTGAATTAAATGTGTATTCGGTTAATCCCAGGAAAGCATCGATTGGCATCGATGAACATTACTATACCGACAGTCACTTATATTCACTTGGCGCAAAACTTCACAAGACGGTTAGATTTATTCACGGAAAAAAATTTTCTGTGTTATCAACAGCATTTCTGGCGCCATCTAAAAATCGCAATTGAAGTATTCACAAAAGATGACTTTTGGGAAACACACAAATCTGATTGAGTGTGTGACACACTTACATTTTTTTTGCGCATGCGTTAAGCCTCTGTATTAACGCAAATTGAATTGTGCTATTCCCAATTTATGTGTCAGAAACTCAATTTTTTTTTTATAGTCTAACTCTATGGTTGAGAGTTTCAAAGTAATAGCGGTGAATTAATCTAACCAAAATAATTTTTCGATAATTGCGGGAAAGTGGAGATTATCCGCAATTTATTTGAAGAATTTGTGTTTTCCAAATAACATAACCTCAAACGTACTAATAACTATAGTTTTCATTTCATTATAGTTGAATTTATTTTATTTTTTTTAGAAAATATAAAATTATTTACGAAACTTTATTTTCACGTGAATATGAGTAAATTAATATCAAAACAAAATGATCAATATACTTTTATAAGAAATCGAGAAAGTTCATCAAAAAATTATCAAAGTGTTTTTATCAAAGAAGAAAATATTAAAGAAGAAGAGAATAATTTTGATGTTGATTTTAATTCAACACAAGATAATTTAAATATAAATCCAATTGCCACTACATATGCAGATAATTTACAATTGACATCAAGTAAGATTATTGTTTATTAATGTTTAATATTTCAAGTGGATTTTTTTTTTTTAATTTAATTTTTATAATCCAAATTTTTTTGTTTTAGATTCAGTGCTAAGGTTACTAAATTCAAATTTCAGAGGGAAATTAGTTCTAGCATATTATGAGAGCAAAACAGGAGTTTTAGAAAGCGAACTCAGTTCAATTATAATAGAAAATGAATTTGAAAATAGTTTAGATTGCAAGTAATTATATTATTTGATTTTGATAAAAACCCTTTACACTTACGCTATTACAAATAGTTTACGCAAATTTACTTATAAGGAAGAATTAGAAGGACAGTCAAAAACAGTTCAACTTCATATTTTTGTATTTTTCAGAAAACGAAGAAAATTTTTTTTAATTAAACAGATTTTCAGTAATTTTAGCAATTTTATTTTTGATAATTTGTTTCTTTGAAAGATTCATTTGGATAATGTTTAAAAATTTTGAGGCATTTCATATGAGAATACAGCGTCATGTCTAGAATTTTTTTCAAAATTTGGTAAATTGTAGTGATAGTGGTGCTAAATAAGTGTACAAATTTTGGATTTTGAAATTTTTAATATTTTTCAAGATATTTACAATAACAAATTTCAGCAATATTTTTTCAATTTACTTATAACTTTTTGCTACTAAAAATAGAGAAAAATGTAAATGTTTTTTACGCAGAAGACCTTAAACTTTTAGAAAAAAATTAATTTTTTTAAAAAATATTAATTTTTAAACAATTTGTTTAAATAATAAAATTTGTTTCTAACTTTTAAACATGTTCTCCCTCATTTAGAAGCGCGAAAAAAATCATGAATTTGTTTAAGTCATAATAAATCGATGGTTAAATTTTTGAGATGGCATTATTTTTTGTTTTCGAGATATTAATTAATTAACTAACAAAAGTTAATAAAAAATGAAATATTTTACGAACAAATAAAATTAGAGTAATTTTAAAAACACCATTAGAATGCTTATCAAAATCCGCATCCAACGAGTCCTATTTGAACTATTTTGGATAAGCGGGTGTTAAATTAATAATTAACAATAAAAATTATTTAAATAATTAATATTATTTGAAAAAATGAAGATAAATCGTCAATTCTTTTTTTATTTGGGAGATCATCTAATTCTGTGTCAAAAAAAGAATATTAAGTATTACCAAGAATCAAAAATTAATTATAAAATGTTATTTAGGAAAAGACTGAAAAATACCATGCCGAGTAGGTAGACAGCCTCTTCCAACTTGTGTCGTGGGGTGCTGAAACATCGATTTTCAATAATCATCTGTTAATAATTTAAATTTGTTAAAAATGTTATTTACACTGGTTTTATTTAACACAGAAGTAGATGATCTTCCAAATAAAAAAAGAATTGACGATTTATCTTCATTTCTTCAAATGTTATTAATTATTTAAATAATTTTTATTATTAATCATTAATTTAACACCCATTTATCAGAAATAGTTCATATTTGGGACTTGTTGGATGCGGATTTTGATAAGCATTCTAATGGTGTTTTTAAAATTACATCTAATTTTATTTGTTCGTAAAATATTTCATTTTTTATTAACTTTTGTTAGATAATTAATTAATATCTCGAAAACAAAAAATAATGCCATCTCAAAAATTTAACTATCGATTTATTATGACTTAAACAATATTCATGATTTTTTTCGCGCTTCAAAATGAGGGAGAACATGTTTAAAAGTTAGAAACAAATTTTATTTTTTAAAAAATTGTATAAAAATTAATATTTTTTTAAAAAATTAATTTTTTTCTAAACGTTTAAGGTCTTCTGCGTAAAAAACATTTACAACATTTTTTCTCTATTTTTAATAGGAAAAAAGTTATAAGTAAAGCAAAAAAATATTGCTCAAATTTGTTATTGTAAATATCTCGAAAAAAATATTAAAAATTTCAAATTCAAAATTTGTACACTTATTTAGCACCACTATCACTACAATTTACCGAATTTTGAGAAAAATCCGAGATATGACCCGGAATTCTCATGCCTCATATACATATTTTCGAATTTTTAAATAAAATAATTATTTACACTTTAAAGTAGAATTTATTTTAATTTCGAACAGTTTAGAAGCATTAAAAGTTATATTTCAATAAAAATTACATTTAATTTGACAATAGAAAACGATTTAACATAACTAAAAAAATTATTTTTATATTACATACATTAACTTTTGTTCTAATTGTTCGTCCAATTTTTCCTTATTTTTTTTATTTTCTCTTTATTGAAACAAATAAAAAGTCTTTGAAAAAAAGGGAATTAATTAATTTTTTTCATTTAATTTAATAAAAATGCTTTAATAAAGAGAACAAAATTAGAAAATTATCATTGAAAATTCACATAAATTTAATGTAACAAAATTAATTGAATTTTTTTAATAGGATAAAGAAAGAAAGATTTCTTAAGCTGAGAGATGAAATTAAAGAAATTTTTCCAACAGAATTACCAGAAGCCTGGTTTTCGCCTTTAACACGCAGTATTAATGGGGAAGTAATTAACCCACGTGGTAAATTATATAATAAATATAATGAAAAAAGAAGAATTTTAAACGAAATTAATTATATGAATAAAGGACTAAAAAGAAAGCAAAATGTAAATAAGGACACAGTTACAGAAAGTAAGTCTATTTTTTTATATACATATTACTAAAGAATTATTATTGGTAAAAAGAAAAGTCAAAAGAATGTATTTACAAATAAATAAAATTTTTTTCAAATACTTAATAAAATAATAAAAAATAAAAGAAAATATCACTTAAAAAAACAAAATCGTTAAATTTAATTTATTAATTATTTAATAGCATTATACGATGAGGATGTGTTGGATTCTTTAGATTTTTTAAAAAATAATATAGAACCAGAAAATAGAATAATAAATGCGTGGATGGCAACAACTCAAGCACGATTAAATTTAAAAAAATCTGGCATCAATGATTATTATAATACATTTAAATGCTTGCAAGGAAATTTAGGAATTACACTGGTAAATATAGTTAATATATATGAAGGGTAGAATGACAAAAAGGGTCAAGCGCCAATTCACTGTTTTTACAGGAAGTAAAAAAAACATTTTTAAAAATTTTGCAGGTCATTTAAAAAAAAACTGAGAAAACCGTTTCGATATATTAGTATGTTTTAATAAATAAACAACAATTTGTTGAAATAAACCTACATATTAACGATAAAATTAAAAAAAACTGTGGTTCCTTGAGGTTATATCAACTGCGCACATTTTCTTTAAGCATTAATTATAAAAAAAATATACAGTTTAAAGAAAAACTGGAAAATTAGTTTCTTTCTATGGAATCGACGAAATGAATAGAAAAAAAAATTCCTTTAAAAAATTGTTTGTTTTCAAGAAAATTACGAATTAATTGCTTGCTTTGGAATTGAGCAATACTTTCATCTTTAAATTCAATTGTTCACTTAGTATAACCATAAAAATATTTAAAAATTAATAACAAAATGATTTTAAAATTGTTTAAAATTGAAAATATATTATTATTATTAATTTTATTAATTAAAATAAAATTAAAATAAAATTAAAATAAAATTAAAATAAAATTAAAATAAAATTAAAATAAAATATTAAAATAAAACCTAAAAAAATAATATTTTTGATCAAAATTGAACACCACTTTCTTTTGTTTTTCAATTAGGTTGCAATAAAGTAAATTTGAGGCTATTTTATTAATTTAATTTTTATTAAAAACTGATTTAAATACGCAATAAAAAAGGAAATCCTTCTACAGAAATGTGTAAATGAATTTTCTTGATTTTTTTATGCAAAAACCTCATTTTCGATAAATTGGCGCTTGACCCCTTTTGTCATTCTACCCTTCATATTTTTATCGTAGAATAAAATATGTAATATAAAAGAAATAAATATTTAATAATTTTAGAAAAATTAATTAATTTTTTTTTCAGCTTCTAAAAGATTTTGATTTGATTTATAAAGAAAATAGTGAAAATTTTCTTCAAAATTGGTCAACAGTAGCAAAAAATATTATTAATGTTTCAAAAAAGAGGGGTAAAAGTAGACAATATGTTGAACTTAATGAAATGCTAGAAAAAAATAAAAGATTAATCAACGAAGGTATATAATAATTAAAATCATATTTTTATCTTTTGATCATTGAATAAATAATATTCCTAGCTCTTTGAGAAGAATAAATATTTCCCTCACATTGCGGATTTGTAGTAATTTTTGTGACATCGAATTTCCGAAATGAAGAGAGAAACAGATTTTCCAAATGCTTGTTAGGAATTATTTTCCCTCAAAAAAAAAGGGGGAAAATAGTTTTTCTATAGAAAAATAAAAATCATTCTTCATTATTTGGAAAATTTTCAAAAATAATAGACCTCTCATCAATATTAGTTAAAAATAATAAAATTACGAAGTTGAAATACGCAACGTTTTCTGATAAACGATTTTTAAAGAAATAATTTTTTTACAATAAAAAATTCTATAATTTTTTGTCTAATAAATATTTTTTTTACAATTCTTTGATTAATGAAAAATAAAAAAAAATATTTTTTAGGCAAAAAATTATAGAATTTTTCATTTTAAAAAATTATTTTTTTAAAAATTGTTTATCATTTAAACGTTGTGTACTTCAGCTTCGTCCTATAAAATTTTGCTAAATATAAATTCTATTAAATGAAAATTCGATGAACTAAAATATCTGTTATAAAAAAAAGTTCCTCAGAAAATAAATTCCGTTAAATCAGAATTTAGTTAACTATAAAATTCTTCAATATAAAAATCTAATTCAATATAAAAGTACACTTTTGTAAAATTTTGCTAAATAAAAATTCAATTAAATTTTTAATTCGACGCCACAAAAATGTCTACAACTCTATATAATATAGGAAATATTCATTTTCTTTTTTCATTTTAGAATATTTATTCTACCAGTCAATTAAATTTTACTGCAATATAAATTATTTACCTTTGAATATTCGTTTATTTTTATATATAGGTAACATAGAATTAGTTGCACTTATTCTTCTACCATATTTATTGGGATCGTCGTATCGTAAACGAAAGAAGGATAGCATTTGGACTCCTAGCAAACAAGATGTTCTGGATTCTTTTATACTTCACATTGAGGTATAATAAATTTAAATAAATTATAGATAAAAAATTTAGATAAATTAAATAAAAAATTTAGATAAATTAGATAAAAAAATTTAGACAAATTAGGTAAAAATTTATAAATTTTTTATTTATTTAAAAATTATACTTAAGTAAATATTTATATTCATGTTTTTATAGACATACGAGGAATTGATATTATATCAAGAAAGGAAAAGAAAAATTTACTTAGAGGAAAATATAAATTTTCAACCGTATCCAGTATTATGTGGTTCATTAGATAAAATTCATAGTTCATTTGTAATTATAAATGACGTAGAATATTTAATTGATACGCCTTTAAAAGCAATTGATATTTGTTTTAAAGCTTTTTTTGCACTTAATACAAATTATCCTCTTGAAAGCAAAGGTTGCTGGGTGTTTCTTCAAAAATTTGTTTTTAATATTCCAATAGAGAGAGAAGACTCAGCTGTTAATAAGCTAATTACTCAGTTACAGTAGAATTTTTTTTTTTTTAACTTTTAATTTTTTTTTTGTAATAATATTTTGAATATTTTATCATGCTTACTTAAAGCAAAATTAAAAATTTGAATTTTATAATTGGTATTGTAAAAAATGCTTGTAAATTTAGAAATATAAATATTTTTATTTTTAATATAATTATTATTTAATTTAAAACCCAAAGTCACTTCAGTATATTTCGACTAAGGTAGTTGTAGTCTAATTACAAAAATAGAATTAGTTTTAAAAATTTCACTTGAAAAATAACTAAATTTTGAGATTTTTTTCAATTAATTAATTAATTAATAAAATAATTAATTATTTCAATTTGAATTATAAAATATATATAATTTAAGATTTTACTCAACATAAAGTACTTTCAGATTTTCTTGCTTTTTTATTTAATTTTATAAATATACAATCTTTTTTAATTGTAAATTCACATCTGTTGATTTTTCCAATTTTCAAACACTTTTGCGGAGTTTTTTTTTCGTTTTTCTCCAAAAGAGCTATTTACCGTTTAGTTTGAAAATCGGAAAAATCAAGAAAGTACAATTTTTTAACTAAAAAAATTTTATATTATTATTTTTTATCTTCTTTAACTAATGAAATCATTTAATAATAATAAATTTAATTTTGAATTTAATTACATATAAGTTTGAATAATATGACTACCAACCGGTAATTGAGCGTGTTGATTTTACCGACGCATTATGATGTCACAATCGCGCAGACTAACTTAATTGGCACAGTGCAACATCGCAATTTGCAATTTCAGTTTTTAATATTGCAATGACAAGTAATGTTTGACAAGCGATTTAAAGTCGCAAATTTTCAACAAACTATCTCTAAATTGCAGTAGGGTGATGATTTCAAGAGAGGTAAGAGAAAATTATCATATTTTAATCAGCATTTTCTTTTCTATAAAATTGTCAGATTCAGCTGATGTTTTGATTCCTTTGTCATTTTTCATTCCTAACCTCAAAATTTCTTTGTTTTGATTATGGGAAAAATGCAAAAATACGCATATATAAAGTAATATTGTTGAAAAATTGTTGTTATTTTCGAATAACTGATATAATTGAATGTTTTATATGTTTTAATATTCATATTGTCATGGAATATATTATTACTATGACATCTAAACATTACATATATTCGCACATTTGACAAATTTTACATTTTTACTGACATTTTACGCATAAAAATAACTCATTATCAATTTTTCCTCTAAAAAGATTATTCATCATCGTTGATATCTAATTAAAAATATATCAGTATTTTTCTGCGATATGCTACTGTGAAAAATAATTAAGAATACATTTCAGTTTTTATATGTAACAATAAATAGAATATTTAATAAAATTAAATTATAATAATTCTGACATTTGACTATGCCAAAAGTCATTCAAGAAGAAAAAGTTTTAAATTAAAATTTGATATAGAAAATAGAAAAATAAATAATAAAACACAAAGAGAAATTTTTTATCTGCATTTATTTAGAACAAATATAATTTATTTGAATCAAAAATATTTATAATATTAAATAAATATAATTGATATTTCAATTTTACTATTAAAAATATTTATTATAAAAATAAAAAATGTGTATAATATTTAATATAATTTAAATAATTTAACATTAATCACGTCGGTGAAATTCATGCAAAAAATAATAACACTTTTGTCCTATAAATCTAGAAGTATTGCAATAATATTTTTGGGTTAGTCCACTGACTTTCGTCTAATAGTGGTTGCGACCAAATTTTAAAAAAATCTAGTTTTAATATATGTGAAACTCGATGATTCCCTGAGTTCATTAACCATAATATTATGGTAAAAATTTTATTCCCTTTAAAAATATTAAATATCAAAAATAGGAGGTTCACAATGTGATTTTGTAACCTTAAATTTTTCAATTTTTTTAAAAACGCTATTATTAAAAAACTATTAAAAATTAGCTGTTGGAACTCACCAAAAACATAAATCACTTTATTTTGCACAGAGGAACGAAAGAATTATTGCAAAAATTTATTATTTTTGGATGATATACGATTTTAAAAAAAATTTAACTTAAATATTCTCAAGATTTTTATTTACTTATAACTTTTTTGTTGGTGCTCCGAAAAAATTGAGGTTTTGCACAAAGATTTTTTATAATATTCTTTACCTTCCTTTAAAATCTCACGAAGGTGTTTTGCTTCGTTTTAGAGATATTAATTTTCAAAATTTTCTATTTAAAAAGGTTAATTAAACGACTTGAAGTTAACTAACCAAATTCAAACTACTCCATTTTTTATAAAAATATATTAAAATGTGGCGATTTGAAATTGGTCAGTTAACTTCAAGTCTTTTAATTAACCTTTTTAAATAAAAAATTTGGAAAATTAATATCTCCAAAACGAAGCAAAATACCTTCGTAAGATTTTAATAGAAGATAAAGAATATTTTAAAAAATCTTTGTGCAAAACCTCAATTTTTTCGGAGCACCGACAAAAAAGTTATAAGTAAATAAAAATCTTGAGAATATTTAAATAAAATTTTTTTTAAAATCGTATATCATCCAAAAATAATAAATTTTTGCAATAATTCTTTCGTTCCTCTGTGCGAAATAAAGTGATTTATGTTTTTGGTGAGTTCCAACATCTAATTTTTAATAGTTTTTTAATAATAGCGTTTTTAAAAAAATTGAAAAATTTAAGGTTACAAAATCACATTGTGAACCTCCTACTTTTGATATTTAATATTTTTAAAGGGAATAAAATTTTTACCATAATATTATGGTTAATGAACTCAGGGAATCATCGAGTTTCACATATATTAAAACTAGATTTTTTTAAAATTTGGTCGCAACCACTATTAGACGAAAGTCAGTGGGCTAACCCTTTTATTTAGAATATTTTAATAATTTGCATGTAAAAAAAATTTTTTTTTCTTTTAAATCGTTGATCATAAACATTGTGAACTTCACCGACGCCATCAATCGATATTAGATTTTGTGAAAATATAAAATAATGTTTTACAGTAATATTTGCAATATATTTCTTACAGGTTTACGTTATTTGCATTTGACAAATTAAGCTGGTCTTAAGAAATTAATAATAGTGTCAAAATGTTAACATTAATTAATAATGATAAAGACAATCCGTGCCTAAATAAAAATTTATCTCTTGGAATAGATCAAGCCTGTTTCAGTGTTATTAATGATACTCCGGGAAATTTAACATTGTATTCAGTAATTAATGATTGCTACGTGGTAAATGTAAGTTACGATTATAATTTAATTATCTATTTTTTAAAATTACTCAAATTTTATTATTTGTTATTACTTTTAACTTTTTTTTTCTTTTATTTTCAATTTTTGTTTTTATTTCTGATACATAAAAACATTTATTTACTTTTTTAAACATTTTTTTCTTTAATAATTTTATTTATGAAATATAAAAATAAGAATAATATTTTATTATTAAAAATAATATTTTATAATTTATTTATTTTTTATTTAGAAAAATTTATTTTCTTTTATTCTTTTCATTTTTTTTTGTATTTTATTTTTGAAAATTTTACTTGATAAAATTTTCAGTGCGAAGGATTAAAATGGGCAACATTATTACCTCACAGCAATACGACACTTGTTACAGAGGCAAAATTACCTTTACATATTTTTTTCAAAGATTCAAAAAAAGGTTACGAATGGTGTCAGTGAGTATATATTTTTTTTATTTAGGCAAAATTAGTTTCGTTATATTTTCATTTGTATTGAGAGGAATTTAATTGAAAAAATTTTTATTTTTATAGTGATACTTTCAACTTTAGACAATATGGACATTACGGTTGGAATATTACGGACGAAAATGGAGGATGTTCTTCAATTTATACTATGTACACTTCCTGGAATCCTTATTTACGTAAGTAATGTTTTTCCCCCAAAAAATCTATTTTTTTACAACTTTTAATTTCATTGATTAAGGTAAAAGCACCAGTACCTGGACGCTATTGAAGGGGTCTCAAATTTATTTGTGTTTTCTACTAAGATAATTCAATATAATTGATAAAATTTTGGTATTTTCGTTTTATTTACCTTTAAAATATACTAATTAGACAAAATTAATAATAATAGATGTTTTAATTAAATTAAAATCATGAAATTGCACATTTGCAGCAGAAGTTGGACATGGTATTTCGAAAGCCGTAGTAGTTGGACATTAAATAAGTAAATTAAATAATAATTTATTTATTTAGTTATTTTGATTATTTAATAAATTAAATAATTTAACTAAAATATAATTAAACTAATTAAATTAATTAAACTGATTGAGTTAATTGAATTAAATCTTTGTCCAATTATTGAAAGTTGGAAATTAATATAAAGCGGTAGGTTAACTTGGACAGTCAATTCAGACAGAATTGGACATCGATTTTAGAGAAATTGTTTTATATATTTTTTTAAATCCTACAATTAATAAATTTTATTTTGCCTAAAAGCTAATTATCTAAAGAGTATCTCAAATTTTTTTTTACTTAATTTGAGGGCTATTTTAATTTCTTTTAGCTACTGTCCATCTACTGGTTCCAATTTTTGCTTTGTCCAGGTACTGGTGCTTTTACCTTAATTCAACAATTTTGTCCTTTTTCCAGATTTTTTTAAGTTGAAATAATTTTTTTATTTTCTTTCATTTGTTTTTTTCCGTTTGTATCGAATATATCCTACAATGATTTGAAAGTTATTAATTTCGAAAAAATTTTCAATTCCATTTATAATTGACTTGAATTTTTCTTGAAAAACGTTTTTCACTTTTTATTTATTTAATACAATTTTTAATATTTATTTTTTTTATCGATCAATTTTTGTTTATTACAGCAATCTTAGCAGCCTTAATGATGTTTGTACTCGTCGCTACTATTTTCACAACATCAAAAATGATTATAAGAACAGTGAAACTTTTTCGACAACGTGAAAATGGTATTGACAATGTAAGTATTATGTAAATTTAAAGAATAAGAAACTAAAACAAAAAAAGTGTATACATATGTAAAAAAAATTATTATTTGGAAAAAAATTTTTTTTATGAGAATAAAAAAATATTTTTATTTCACTTTTCATTTTGATTTTGAGTAAAATAATTAATTTTTTCCGTCGCAGGATCACGAGAGATTACAAGAATCAGACGCATCGCCAGGATTAATTAGCATTTCAAAAACATCATCGAGAATGAAATCGGTCGATGCGTTTCGAGGGTATTTTCAATTTTTTGTAATTTTAAAAAATTTCATTTCAGATAATTATAAGAGACAATTTGTGTGTTTTAGAATTGCTATTTTATTGATGATATTTGTCAATAATGGTGGAGGAAAATATTATTTCTTTGAGCATAGCCCTTGGAATGGTCTCACTGTAGCGGATCTCGTTTTACCTTGGTAATTTTATTGAAAAATTTAATAAAACGCGATTAATTTACACATAATGAATTAATATTAATGAATTTTACTATATTAAATTATAATAATAATTTATAATTATATACAATTTGAAAATGTTCAACTGTTAAAAGTTCTTTTCGAAATTTGTTTTAGGTTTGCTTGGATTATGGGATTCATGATTGTAAAATCGATTCGAGTTAGTTTACAATTATCCATTTCACGAAAGCGAATATTATTTAAATTGATGAGACGTTCTTTAATTCTTATTCTTTTGGGTTTAATGGTGAATTCATATGCGCAAACAAAATACACTTTGTGGAATTTACGATTTCCGGGAATTTTACAACTTTTAGCAATTACATTTTTCATTTGTGCGGCTATAGAGACTATTTTTCTAAAACCCCAACGAAGTTTTCAGGTAAAAAAAAAAGAGTCAAAATTCTGTATTTCTTCTATAATTTCTATGTTTATTAATTTTTGTCTTTAAAAATTAAATTTTCAACTTTATTATTAATTAATTATCTAATTAATTCATTTATCAATAATAATAATTAAAACCAAAAGAGTAATAATAATATTTCAGGAGATTTTTTTGCAGTACGGCCGATTAGTATTTCTTTCGGATATTTTTGATAGTTGGCCACAATGGTTGATTGTTACGGCACTCACAACATTGCATACTTTGATGATATTTTTACTTCACGTTCCCGGTTGTCCTGATGGTTACTTTGGACCCGGTGGATGTCATCGTCGTGGTAAATATGTTAATTGTACTGGTGGTGCTGTTGGCTATATAGACAGAGAAATTTTTGGTAATCATTTGTACAATAAAACGGAAAATCCACTTTATCGTCATACATTGCCACATGATCCCGAAGGTGAGTTATTTTTTCCTCTAAAACAATAATAAATTTTGTAATTTTTTTTATTTTTTATTTTTTTCCTATAAATTAACAGGGTGTCCAGCGGACATTGAAATCGTTAAAAAGTCCTTGAATTTTATAAGAAAAACCTTGAATTATTAAAATTGTTTTTCCTTAAATTTTCTATTTTTCTTTCTCAATTTTTTTTTTTATTTCTCATTGTTTTCCTTAAATTGTTCGTGTTTTAAATTTTTCCTTCAAATTCTCCTTTTATTTTAGGATTTCTAAACATTTATTTATCATTTCATTTTTTCAATTCTTAAACTGTTAAATGCAAACTAATTTGTTTATCAAGTTTAAAAATATATAAAACTTTTAATAATAATCAATTTTTTTTTTTATTAATAATCATAGTTTCTACGCCAAAAGTGGACCTTGAAAAAAATTATTTTGGATCTTAAGAAACCATGATAAGTCTTTGAATTTTTTTTTTCTAAAATTTGCTTGACACCCTGAATTATTTTTTTCCTTAAAATGAAAAAAAAAAAAAATAATAGAACGCATGAATATTACCAACATTAGACTTGTAGAAATTTTTGTGGCTTCGAATTACTAATCATCGAATTAATATTTAGTAGAATTTTATAAATTGGACTTAATATTAAACCGAATTTTCATGTTGAAGACTTTTTAGTTAACTAAATTCTTATTTAACAGAATTTAGCATGAAAATTTGTATTTTACCGAAACTCCATTTGTTGGAACTTTTACTGGTTCAAATTGTCGTTTTACAAGAAAAAAATCTAAAACGTCGAATTTATTTAAATAAAAATTTTTCGATTTCAAAATTTGGTTCAATAAAAAATAATATATTCTGCTAAATAGAAATTTAAAAATTAGTGATTCTATGCCACAGAAATTCCTACAAATCTAAAGTCGGTAATATTCATGCGTTGAAAAATTATAATTTATACAAAATTTTATAAACGTTAATTAAATTTTAAAAATGAGGAAATAAATTTCTTTTTTTAAATTAATTTATAGGATTAATGAATACATTATCGGCGGTTTTAATCGTTTATTTGGGTGTTCATGCGGGCAGAATTTTTTTCACTTATTACCAATGTACAGCGAAAATGATACGATGGCTCGTGTGGTCCGTTGTCACGGTAGGTATTTTTTTTTTCTATAATCACAGTTTTATAACATTAAAATTGTATTTCAATAGACAAAAATGAATTTTAATTAAAATGATAAAACTAATGAGGTCCCCAAAATAATTTTAATAATACTACATAAATATTTCATTTCAAATTTTTTTATTTTGTAAAATCGTAACTTTGCCGAAAATTTTATTTTTTATCTCATATTATTTACAAAGTAACAAATTCATACTAGTATAAATGTAATTTTGTTTATAAATAAATTTAATAAAAAAATTTTCTTTTTTAAAATAAATTAGGGTCTCATTGCTGGACTATTGTGCAATTTCGAAAAGGAAAATGGTGTGATACCAATAAACAAGAATATGATGTCTTTATCCTATGTTCTTGCCACTTCGTCTTTTGCATTTCTTTTATTTACAATTCTGCATTTATTAATTGATTACAAAAAATATTGGACTGGCGCACCTTTTATTTACGCAGGTTTGTCATTTTTAATAAATTATTATCAGTTAGTTACGAAAATTTTAATTAAATTTATAAATTGATCACATGTTATTCCCAAATTACTTTTTTTTCACCTATTTGAAAATTTGTAACTTATTTCACTTTTTTTTCTCAATTTTTGTTTTATTTGAAATTTTCATTTTACAAAAATTATTTTGTTTTTTTTCTATTTTGAAATTCCAACTTTTTAAAAAATTATGATTGAAAAATTGTAAAAAAATTTTTTGATTAATTTGTGAAGTAATGATTTTTGAGAACTAATTGTAAGTTATTAGGGATTTTCATCACATTTTTTGTTTTTTCAAAATTTAGATTATTGAACAATTTTGTATGTTTTATTTTTAAAAGTTGCTTCAATTTCTTATCATCCATTCAAAAAGAAAAATTAATTTTTTAGTATTAATTTAAATTTATATAATTTATAATATTAATAACGATTGCCAATGATCATTTATGTGAAACTTGTATAATTAAATAACTTTTTCTAGGAGCAAATCCAATTTTACTTTACGTTGGACATTATTTGACAAAAGGTCTTTTTCCATTTGCCTGGGATATTATGGGAACACCAACACATACTTTTGCTTTACTGATGAATTTATGGACAACTGTTCTTTGGGGTTTTATTGCCTATTTACTTTATAGAAAAGATATTATTATAAGTATTTAAAAAAAAAAAAAAAAAAAAATTCTAAAAGAGAATCTTCCTAAAGAGAATTAGAATTAAATTTGATTTATTCGTTGATTGTGATTAGATTTATATATACATTTATTTTATTTATATATACAAGAAAAAAAATTTTTGTTTTTACATTTTGTGTTATACAGTAATTTTCACTAATATACAGTATTATGTGATATATTTACTATATATACGTGTACATTATTTTTATTACGTACCTTTTTAATTTTTGTGTTTTATAAACATGAATTTAAACAAACTGATTCATGATATATTTTTCGAAAACACAAAACAAAATTTTTGATAGAAAAAACAAAATATTGAAAAACATTTTTTAAATAAAAAAATTGTATTGTAAAATCTTTTTTTTTTCTTATAGAAATTAACATCCTATGTATAGATTTTAATAAATTACAGGGTGGCCAGTGGACCGGGAAACCGGGAAATGACAGGGAATTTGTTTTGACCTGGAAAAACCGGGAAATGACAGGGAATTTTTACCTTGACCGGGAATTTTGAAATTTTTTATTAAAAAGTATTTTATTTAATTCAAAAATTGTTGAAAGAAAAAAAAGCTTTGATCTTAGAAAATGCTCGCAAGTGTGCAGAAGACATTGATTTAGAACTTAAACAATTAAATAACCAAACCTGATTTTTAACTGAATACGTATCTGAACGTATCTTTAATTTAAAATATATATATATATATATATGTTTATCTTAAAACTCAAAGTATTAAGATGTTAAAATATTGAATGTGATATTAAAAATGTAGTTTTTAAAAGTTAACTTCTAGTTTAATTGAAAAGAGATACAAATATCTACGAAAAAGTTTATTTTATTAAAAAAATATATAGTATGTGTTTATTATAAACATTAAGTAAGAAACAAAATGTGATAAACGTGATAAAACGTTTTTTTTTAAATGTATATTACGTATTTATATGTTTTATGTTTAATAAAGAGTCAATATTCAATAAATTTATAGAATAATTTTTTTGGGAATTTTCCTTTATGACCGGGAAAAATAATTCATGACCGGGAAATGACCGGGAATTTTTTTTGGTGAAAAAAACGGCCACCCTGAAATAGGATTACTCTTAGAGTTTTTTTTTAAATAGTTTACAAAAATTTTTGGTTTTTAATTAAGTTAAATTATTTATTTTTTAACTTAAGTTTTTAAATATTGAATTAAATTTTATAGTAGAACTATAAATTTATGGAAATTTCATTGGCATTTATACTTAATTATCTTCACGTTCCCTAAAAAAATGAAAATTTACTCATTTCTTTCCTCTGGAGTTTTGTATGGATAATTAAGAATTTTAAAAATATCCTCCTCGCTGGTAATTTTTTCCGGCTCTCCTGGAACTCCTTTGATAATATAAAAATTAATGCTTTTTATTATAATTAATTTAAATATATTAATTTTTAAAAATTTGTTTTAACTATTATTTTATAGTATTCATTTTATTAAAACGAATCTTCTTTTATAATATAATAATTTTTGTTTACCTTCCAGAGTCAAATGTCTCAATGTATATTCATTTAGAGTGAATTTCTTCTCCAAAGCATGAGCTCGCATTTCCTTATTGAACAAATCGCTACCCGTGAAATACAAAACTGCACAATAATATTGATCATAAGGTGCAAGTCTTATATCGAGTCTTCTAAACAAAGCTTTCTCATCTGTGGTAAGTTTGCAAACTCCCTGTAAATTATTATCTTTTACATTATTCTATTTAGCATTTAGAAAAAAATGAATATTTGTAAAAATTTTAAAAATATTTTTAAAAAAATGACTAAATTTTTTTTTTAATCTAGAAACAATTGAAATTTAAAAAAAGTTTAAATATTAACGAAAGATAAAAAAAAATTCAAGAAACTTTTTTTTTAATCCATAAAATTTGTTTCAATTACCATAAATTTTGTTTCACCAAGTGAAATTGTATCAGTGATTAATTTTACTTTTTCAAGACATTGAATGATAGATTTTAAAATTTGATTATTTTTCTTTTTCGATTCTTTAATTGATGATGTAAAATTTGGATGAGTCAATAAAACATCAATATCGCCACTTTCTTCTTTTCCACGTCTGTAACTTCCGCAAATTGTTATTAAATATTTATCATCGAGTTTATTTATCGCTTCCTTGAGAATTTTCTCGATTTTCTTAATTTCCATGCGTGGTATTTTTTTCTCAAAATCTTCAAAATATCTAAAAAACGGAAGAAGGTATATAAAATTGATTTTTTCCCAATAGTTTAAAAAAATAAGTAATTTTCATCTTCTTTAAGAATGAATAGAATAAAATTGAAATTTATTATTTTATTTTAAAATTATTCTAATTATTCTTTTAGAAAACTTAGATTTTAAAGACTAAAATAATTTTTTTTTTTTATCCTACTTTAAACCAAGTTTTTGATGATGGGTTAATTTGTCCTGATGCAATTTTAAATCTTCCAAAGTTTTTATTCCAGAATCCACCAATTCTTTCGCTTTCGATGGACCAATTCCGGATACTCTTGTAAGTAGATTAATTGCTAAATTTCCTTCATCTTTTTTTATCTAGAAAAAACAAAATTTTATTTTAAATATTTATGGAGATTTTTAAAAAAAATACTTGTAATATAATAATGGAAAAAAAATAAAATAACAGACATCTTCGAGTTTTTGCAATTTTCCAGTTTCTAAAAATTCATCAATTTTTTTTGAAATTTTATCACCAATTCCAGGCAGCTTTTTCGCCTCTTTTCCATTTTTCACTCTTTCTGATAATTTACTGAGAGTCACTGCTGCCTTTCGATATGCATTGGATTTATAAATATTTTTAGTAACATTACGCTCATAATTTGCAAGCTCTAAAAAAAAATCCGTATAAATTTTGATTCTTTTTATAGAAGAAATTATAATTTGTAATCGACATTCAAATTTGAGAAAAAAAAAAATAAGATTTACAAATATGATTGAAAAAAAAATCTAAAATTTTTTTCAACTAATATAAATAAGTAGCAAAAAAAATTTAGAGGTTACAGATATATTTAAAAGTATATATATAATTTTTAAAAAAGAAATCTAAAAATATTTTATAATTTACCTGTTAAAAATTCACACAAATCATGATTTGGATTTTCAGAATTTTCAGGTGCTTTTCTTTTGCCCATTTTTAGAATAGAAAACAATTTTTGTAAATAAAATTAAATGTTTACATTTACGTATTTTGTATATATATTTTCAAATAGCAAAAAGTGCGTAGAAATGTAAACGATGTGAAGTTAGCTAACAACCCAGACAAAACGTCATTTTATTCCTATTATCTGCGTCAAAAACGTCAAAAATATATATATATATACATTTTTTTAATTCACCGCATTAATTTTTAATATTTACCAAAAGAATAATGTATGTAATTTTAAAAAATTCTCGCAACTAATTTTTTGTAATAATAAAAATTCATCTAATTAATCGAAACACTAAACCTACATTAAACAATTAATATTGTTACGTTACTGATATTTTCAATAAATAACCAATCGTCGATTTCGATTGGGTCACGTGACCCAATTTTCCATAAGACTCATAAAGGCCATTCTGCAATAATAGTGCATAAATATTCATTATTGTCCTTCTATTTACTAATATAAAATTATATACACCAAATACAGAAAATAGATTATAATATTATAATTATGTTAATTAATTTTAGAATATAAAACTTAAATACATTATTAAAAATTTAATAGCCACCAAAAAATATATATAGAATTGCATTGACGAGAAATAAATCAATGGATGCGTGTATGCTTTAAACAGCTGTTAGCTGGAATAATGTTTTTGGAAAAGTCAGTAGAATATAATAGGGAGCATTCAAATTTCAAGTGACTGTTTGTGGTGACTGTTGTGCTTCTTCTCCCAGGTATAACTTATATCTGTTCGAACAAAAAAAAAAAATCAAGGATTCATTTCAATTCTCGGATATTTATCTATTTCACTTCATATTAAATAGGAATGGCACAAAACATTAATCCTTTCTATTCGTCGCAAAATCCTCAAAATAAAGCTAAGGAGGAGAAGCCCAATTTACCAAAAGATAATCATGCAGTAAGCAAAAGGTACGCCAATGGACGCAATATATAATTATTAATTCATTATTTATTCTTATAATAGAGAAATTTATTATGTAATTTTTATTATTAAATTGCAAATGTTTCAATATTATTTGATTATTTTGGCGTAAATTATAATTAATATTTATATAATAATTTCTCAATGATTTGTGGATATTTATTTTTGGCCTTGTAAAACAAACATAACCTTAAAATATATTTGAAGCATCTGTGTATATGTATATATATATAATTTAATCAATTTAGATATGTTTTAATCTGTCAGTTATAAAAAAAAATGTGTCACATACGTGAAATATATTTTCTTTTGTGTATGTATTATGCAAAGAAGTCAATTGCATTTTATGTATTTTTTCCAATGTAACTTTTAATTAGAGTAATTATAAATATATTTTGTAAACTACAATTTTTCTTGGATAATATTATATCTATGTAGAAATTGAGTTTTTATAATTTTACTTATTCAGATTGTTTATGCTTTTTTGTGTGAAATATTCTTTTTTTTTTGAACGGTGTATTTTTGTGAATTGTGAATTATTAATATTTTTTTTTTGACATTTAGTTTGATTTACAATTTTTTTTTTAAATAGTTTAAAATTTTTAAATTTGAAATGTGAGAATTAATCTTTACAGTGAATTATACGAAAGTAAGTATGTTTTAGTGGTCAAAATTTTTGAGAATTATTTTCATTTAGTTATGTATTTACATTTTTTTTTTTTTTTTATTACAAAAAATTATATATAATTTTTGGGGGGAAAAAATGATGATAACTAATGATATTTTGTCAATGAAAATAAATAGTGGAGTAAAATTTCTATCAAGAAAATGAGAAAAATTGTTAATTATTTATATAGAATTTTATTTGTATATCTATATAGTGTATAAATATAACTTGTATAGTTAATAATAATAGTTTTGTAAAAAATATATGTTACCAGAGAATTACAGAAACTATTATCAAAAATACGAAACAGAAAAATTAGTTAACAATTTTTATAATTATTTTCTAAAGACCAAGGATATATTTATTTACATTGCAGACTTCAAAAAGAACTGATGGTCCTAATGATGAGCTCAGAGAAAGGAGTTTCTGCTTTTCCGGAAGGAGAAAACCTTTTTAAATGGGTTGGAACTATCACAGGACCTCTTGACACGGTATATTTATCATTATTTCTCCATTACCCTCTAAATTTGAATTAGTAAAAAAAATAATATATCAGTAAAAAAGAAGCAGTCACTAATTTTTCAAATAGTATTTATTTTACTAATCTCTTAAAATAAAAATTTAAATATTTAAATTCTTTTTTAAAATTATGTAGAACTTAATGAAACAGTAAATTACTATTAATTAATTATTCTTAATTCAATGAATAAATTTTTATTATTTGTTCAATATTTTTTTTATGGATAATTAGTCCTTTTTCAATAATTAATTATTTTGAGACGCATGAATATTTACCACATTAGGCTTTCAAGGAATTTTTGTGGTGATAAATTAAAAATTATCAAATTTCTATTTAGTAGAATTTTATAAAGGGGGACTTTATATCAAACCAAATTTCCATATTGAAGAAATTTCAGTTAACTAAATTCTTAACAGAATTTATATTAAGCTGAAATTTTATATAGCTGATATTTTAGTTTATAGAATTTTCATTTAACAGAATTTATATTTAGTAAAATTTTCTTTAAAAAATAATTTAATTTAACAGATTTGTTCTTTAATCGAATTTTTACTTTTATCAGAATATTCGCTTGACGCACTATTTTCATTAAACAAAATTCACATTTAACTAAATTTCTAAAAAAAAAAAATTTCAGTATTCAACTATATTTTCAATAAGGAGAATTTTTATTCCAAATCATTTTTATTTAACCGAATTTCTACTTAGCTGGATTTTTGACTGTAAGAATTTTTATTTCTCCGAAACTTAGTTAATTGAACTTTTACTTATCCGAATATTTGTTATTTTTAAACTTATAAAACGATAAATTTCAATTAGACAAAAGTTTTATTTTTCTAAATAAATACTCTGCCAAAATATTTCAATGGAAATTTTAAAATCAATCAATCAAAAAATTATCCAAAATGCGACGCATGCCTCTAAAATTAATTTTTTAGAATTTTCATTTGTCAGAATTTGATTGATTGAATTTTATTATATGTAATGATTTTTTAAACAAATTTTTATTTTTTGAATTATCATTAAACAGAATTTATTTTTAAAGTAATTTTTAATTAACAAAATTTTTAAGTACCAAAATTTTAATTGGAAAAATTTTTATTTCACAGAATTTCTATTTACACAATTTTTTATTTAAAAAAAATTCTAATTTAATCGAATATTAATTTAGTAAAATTCTCATTCAACGGAATTTTCAGTGATTCTAATTTTTAAATGTCAGAATTTCCAATTTCACCGAATTTACATTTGTCAGAATTTTCATTTGCACAAATTGTTATTTCAGGCCTCGGATTATACGACTTTTTCGACTATTTCCGACTTTTTTTTCAAAATTACAACTTTTTTCAACTTATTTTAATAAAATGCGACTTTTTCGATTTTTTTTTACATTTAAAAAAAAAATTTTTTAATAAAATACGTTTTTTTTAGTATAAATTGCAGATCTTCTTCAGATTTTCTTTATTTCAATTATTTAACAAATTTTTAACTAAAACTCTTCACTAAATTAATTATTTTTACTAATTTTAATGTAATTCATCACAAATTCAATAATTTCAAATAAAATTACCGCCAATTTTTAATTCTAAATCAAATAAAATTCAATTATTTTAAAAAATTTCAATTCAAAATCAACTAAAATTCAATTATTATTCTTAATTTCAATTCAAAATTAATTATTATCAAAATTTTCAATCAAAAATCAACTAAAATTGAATTATTGTCTAAAATTTCTATTGGAATTCAATTATTTTCAAACATTGGAATTTAAAAGCTTCTAACATTTTCCATCGAAAAATTTTTGAAATTTAATAATTTCAATTATAACTTTTCGGAAATTCAATTATTTTTAACTATTTTTATAATATTCTTTAAAAATTCAACTTTCCAAAACCATTTTGCAATTAAAAATGGTTCTCAAATTGTTGTATTTTTGTCCGAAATTTCTAATAAATGTGTTAGTGAAATCATCAAAAAAAATTTAATTAAAAATCACTTGAAGTTCAATTAATTTCAAAAATAACAATTGTAAATCTTTGAAAATTCAATAACATTTAAAAAATGTTATCTAAAATTGTTTGATAAATTATTTTTAGTTCTGTGAAATTTAATTATTGTCTGAAAATTAACAAAATCTTTTGAAATTCAATTATTTCTAAAAAATTTTTTTAGGATATTTGAAATTTTGTGGTAATGAAAATTTGGCGTTTTAAAAAATCTATTCGGTGAATTGGAAATTAGTTTTAGTTGAAAAAAATATTAACAAATTAATTGACAACCCTAAACAACAATAATTTTGATGGATTTAAATTTCACTGGTCCCTCCCCTTAAAAGTTCCATAAAATGTCAATATTTGGACAATTAAAATTTTAATCAAATGGAGTTTCCGCTAAGTAGAAATTGTGTTAAATAAAAATTATTTAGAATAAAAATTCTCCGTAATAATAAAATCGTTAAATATTGAACTTTTTTAATGAGAAATTTTGTTAATGAAAATAGTGTGTATTATTATTTTTCATTGATTGCTATATGCAGTTAAAAATCAGTTAAGATTTTATTTTGTTAGTTTTTTCTAATTGAAACTTGATCAAAGTTAATAAGTAATTTATTAATTTAATTAAGTATTTACATTTAAAAAAAATAGTTTACTTCAATTTATTAATATTTTTTCTAGGTTTATGCCGGTTTGACATACAAATTGTCTCTGGAATTTCCGCAAAGTTATCCTTATAGTGCACCAACTGTACGTTTTGCAACGCAATGTTTTCATCCTAATGTAGACAATGCTGGCAATATTTGCCTTGACATTTTAAAGGACAAGTGGAGTGCATTGTATGACGTGCGCACAATTTTACTCTCTATACAGTCATTGCTTGGTGGTAAGTATTCAAAAATAATGCGATTAATCAATTAAATATTTCATTAAAAATTATTGTGACCTATTTTTAGAAAAATTTTTCCTAAATCGAAGAAATTTTTTTTTAAATAATTTTAGAATACAAATTTTGACAATTATTTTATAAAAATTTTCTGCATTTATAACTTTGAATTTGAATTATAAAATTGAGATCGAAAGAAGAAGGGTTATTTTAATAGTTACAAAAATTTATTAGTATTCATAATATTTTAATTTACTAATATAATAATTGATTATTCTTTAAAAACAAATCCAAAATATTAAAAATTATTATTTAAACTTTCCAATGTAATGTTAAAAATTTAATACCTACATTTTAATTACATATGTTTTTTTTGTAATGAAAATTTAAAAATATTATTCAATTATTAATTTTTTTAATTCAGAAATATGAAAAAGTTTACCTTTAATCATGAAGTTTTGATAATTTTTGATTATTTTCAACACTAATGATTTCTTTGGAGAAAAACGAAAATGTCCAATTTTTATTTTAATATTTATGTTACATTTTTTGTTTATCTTATCAAAATTTGGCGTTGGAGAACGAGCTACTTTATATTTTTATTTAATTTTAAAAATTTTCTTTCATGAACAAAGTTTAAGGGGACGCATGAATATGATCTAAAAATCATTATTTAGAATTTTCATTTTATGGAATTTCATTAGTCATAATTATTTTTGAGTCGAATTTTTATTTGTTCGAATTATTATTTGATATAATTTCCATATATAACCGATTTTTCATACTACAGAATTTTTACTTAACCGAATACTCATTTAACAGAATTTCTAATTAATAGAATTTTCATTTGTTCGAAATTGCAAATAGCCGAATAAACAATCGACAGAAAGATTTCGGCGCGATTTTTAAAATCAACCAATCACAATTTTATGAATAATTTTGGAAAAAAACACTGAAATAATTTAACAAATATAAATTTCTTTATTTCTTCATAGTTCAATAAATATTTTTAATTTTATTTAAAAATTGAGGTCAAATTTCAATAAATTTAAATTAGCCGATGAATTCATTAGATAAAATTGTAATCGATATAAAGATAAATTTATTCTAATTTTAATTAACCATCAATTCAATTAATTAAAATTTGAAAAGATTCAAATTTTTATTCATCTAATTTTGAATTAAAAAAAATTTTAATTGAGCCAAATTTCAATTCCTTCAATTTTCAATCAATACCAATTTGTATTGGTGAAAATAAATTTATTTTATTAAAATTTTGAATCAAATACAAATTCAATCGATCCAAACTTATAATTAACGAAAATTCAATCTGTCTAAAATTTAATAATTGGTTTAGGTTTCAAATTATCCAAAATTTAAACTTTTAATGCTTCAATTATTAACGGAAAATTACAATTAATTTAAATTCAAATAGATACCTACAAATTAATTATTTTTCACGTTAATTGGTTTTAACTATCAATTTTTTTTTCATTTTTTAAATGACAGAAATTCCAATTCACCAAATTTTAATTTATATAATTTTTAAGACGCCGAATTTTTATTTTTCCGAAATTACAAATTACCGAACAAACAATCGATAGAAAGATATCGTTACAATTTTGAAAATTGACCAATTAGAAATTATCAAGAAAATCGTGATTAGGCAATTAAGATAAAAGCACCAGTACCTGGACAAAGGAAAAATTGGAACCAGCAGATGGACAGTAGCAAAAAGAAATTAAAATATCACTTAAATTAAGTTAAAAAAATTTTGAGATACTCTTTAGATAATTAGCTTTTAGGCAAAATAAAATTTATTAATTGTAGGAGTAAAAAAAATATATAAAACAATTTCTCTAAAATCGCTGTCCAATTCTGTCTGAATTGACTGTCCAAGTTAACCTACCGCTTTATATGTTGTACCCAATAGTTGGACAAAGATTTAATTCAATTAACTCAATCAGTTTAATTAATTTAATTAGTTTAATTATATTTTAGTCCAATTATTTAATTTATTAAATAATCAAAATAACTAAATAAATAAATTATTATTTAATTTACTTATTTAATGTCCAACTACTACGGCTTTCGAAATACCATGTCCAACTTCTGCTGCAAATGTGCAATTTCATGATTTTAATTTAATTAAAACATCTATTATTATTAATTTTGTCTAATTAGTATTTTTTAAAGGTAAATAAAACGAAAATACAAACATTTTATCAATTAATATAGCAAAATTAAACGGGCGCAAGCGCGCCAAATTGGGTATTTAATTGTTTGTTATAAAGAAATTAAAGATTAATATTATCAATAATAATTTAATTTATTAGAATATTATTAGATATTAAATGATAATAATGAAAATTATATGTTTACAGGCCTCGGATTATACGACTTTTTCCGACTTTTTTTTCAAAAATACGACTTTTATCGACTTATTTTTATAAAATGCGACATTTTTTTTATATTTGAAAAAAAATGTAAATAAAATACATTTTTTTTAGTATAAAATGTAGATCTTCTTCAGATCTACTTCAATTCAATTATTTAACAAATTTTGAACTAAATTGATTCTTCACTAAATTAATTATTTTTAATAATTTTAATGAAATACATCACAAATTTAATTATATCAAAATTATTTTTCAATTAAAATTTTTATGAAATTTAACAATTATTTATAATTTAAAAAAAAATATCACAATAAAATTTAATTATTTTTTAAAAATTTCAATTCAAAATAAACTAAAATTCAATTATTACCCGAAATTGTAATTCAAAATCAATTAAAAATCCAATAATTATCAAAAATTTTCAATTTAAAATTTAATTATTTACCTAATTTTCAATTTAAAATGAAATAAAATTCAATTATTTTCTAAAATTTCTATTCAAAATTAATTATCCAAATTTTCAATCAAAAATGAACTTAAATTAAATTATTATCCAAAATTTCAATTAAATTTCAATGATTTCCCAAAATTTTCAATTCAAAATGAACTGAAATTCAATTATTTTCCAAATTTAAAATCAAATAAAATTTAATTATTTTCAAAAATTTGAATTCAAAATTAATTGAATTTTCAATAATTTGAATTTAAAAGCGTCTAAAATTTAATTATTTCTAAAATTTTCCATCGAAAATTTTTTTTTTAAATTTAATAATTTCAATTATAACTCTAAGGAAATTTAATTATTTTTAACTATTTTAATAATATTCTTTGAAAATTCAACTATCTGAAACCATTTTTCAATTAAAAATGATTTTCAAATTATTGTATTTTGTCCGCATTTTCTAATAAATTTTTAGTGAAATCATCTAAAATTTTAATTAAAAATCACTTAAAGTTTCAATTAATTTCAAAAATCTCAATTTTAAATCTTTGAAAATTCAATTAAATTTAAAAAATGTTTTCCAATAATTGTTTGATAAATTATTTTTAGTTCTGTAAAATTTAATAATTATTTGAAAATTAACAATATCTGTTGAAATTTAATTATTTCTAAAAATTTCAACTTTAATCCTTCGAAAAGGATTATTATTAAAAAAAAATTTTTTATTTAAAAATCTGTAAAATATTTTTGTTAAAATAAAAAAAAAAAAAAAATCCACTTTTTTTTGGAATATAAATCGACTAAAACGACTTTTTGTGTCTTTAAGTTGATTCGAGGCCTGTGTTTTTATAATTAATATTTAATAGGTGTTCGTTGGCCCCTGGTACCTTAAAAATTAATTTTTTTTAAATTACTATCTTGTACGAAATTTCCTGGCGCAGCTTTTTTGTTAATCATAAATTTTTTGTATTTGTATACAATTTTTGAATCAATATACAACTTTAAAAAAAATTTCGTTGGTAAACGTTGTGTACTTCAGCTTCGTGAATTGAATTTTCGAATTTGGAATTTTAAAGAAACTTATTCCGAAATTTGGAGACACAATTATACAACTTTGGCAAAAATGAGAAAAAGAATTGTCAAAATTTGACACGTCATAAAATTACTATTCAAAAAAAAACACGTAAAATCAGAAAAGGCCAACTTCAAGTTAGGACAGAAGGACAGACCAAGCATTTTATTTTATCAATTATATTGAATTATCTTAGTAGAAAACAAATAAATTTGAGACCCCTACAATAGCGTCCAGGTACTGGTGCTTTTACCTTATTTAAAAATTTGAGCCAAAATTTTTCTGTCGATTTTTGTTCGACCATTTGTAATTTCGGACAAATAAAAAAAAAAATTATATTTATTCTGAAAAAAATTAATTTTTCATAACTTCAAAATAAACAAAAAAGAAAAAGAAATGACGTCATTTGTGCGACGCGTCGCTTTAAATTTAATGGTGTGACGTAATTAAGTTGAACATGCCTTTAAAAGGATTAAACTATATATTGAAACTAATGATTTGCTTATAAACTCCATTGTATTAACAATAATTGTACATTGTTTTTGTGCTTGACAGAACCAAATAATGAGAGTCCCCTTAATATCCAAGCTGCGGAACTTTGGAACGATCAAACAAAATACAAGAAACACCTGAAGGACGAATATGACAGGGCTCTGAGTAGAAGTCAACAAGACTCATGATAAGCAATATTTATCTTTCGATTCAAAAACTAACTGATGCAATTCTTACCTAATACCTATTATTAATTAATTAAATATCCAAAATCAAACACTATTTCCGTTTGAAAATTCCCAAAGAACACTTATGCACTGAGTCCTTCCCTCCCTCCCTTTTCCTTCTATACATCAACACATATAATTTTTGAGAAATGTTTTTTATTTTTTATTTTAATTTTTTTTTGGTTTTTTTGTAGAGCAATTTTTATTGTAAAATCGGCTATAAGTTTATATTACAGATATATACTTTAATATTATTCACCCTATTTTTTTTTTATTTTTTTTTTTTTTGTAATTGTCAAGGGATCAAATTAGGAATTTATAGAATGATTTTTGTGTCAAGTACATTAGGATATAGAAAAAAAAGAAGAAGAAAAAAAAAGAAACTTGTATTCGGGACTCGAGATTGTTTAGCTGTCTCTATATAAATAAAATGTGTTCACGTAAATTGTCTCTCCTAAGTGCTTTCAAAATATAATAAAAAATAAAAAAAAAAAATAAATAATAAAAATTGTATGTAACGCTAAATGAAAACGAATCACGAATACGAGATTGAAAGAAAGAAAGCTCATAATCATTATTATCATCACGAATTTTGTAATTTTTTTTTTCTTTCTTTTTTTTTTATTGAACGTAAATATTTATTTAAACGAGTGATCGATTTTGAAAAAAAACCATATCAATGTAAAACATTGTTTGGTAAATTGTGTACTAATGAATTATAATGATTAGTGAAAATATATGATCATTTCGTTTACTGTGTAACGTCATGTACTTTTGAAATAAATATTACAAAAAAAAAGAAGAAAAAAGAAGCAAAAAAAGTACTGATTCGGTTTTCTGGTCTACGTTTATCAAGAATTATTATTATACATAAATATATATATTTAATAATACTTTAGTTAATTAATTTTAAAAATTAGAAAATTCGTCTTTCAATGTATTATTCTTGATTCTTATACGTGACTTTAGAATTGAATAAATCTTCATTAATCATCATTTTTTATTGTTAGTGCTTTTATGATTCTTATCCCTTTTGAAAGAGTTTTAGAATGGGAAAATTGAAAAACAAAATCATCTAACAAAAGTCATTTCTATTCTTGCTTTTTCATTATTAAAAATTAATTTTACTTAATGAATTACATTTGAAATTTCTCTTTTTTATTCGGAAATAATTATTGTGCGACATATGATTTTTTTTTTATTTCTGTAATATTTTGTTGGTTTTGTGTACGTGCATGTATTAAAAATTAAGTAAGAGATTGTTTTGATTTAAATATAAGAGTAGGTGCATAAAAAAAAGTGTATATATATATACAATAAATGAATGACGTGGCAGAAAAAGAAAAACGTGGGATAACCGGTCGGAGGGAATATAAGGAAAGGAAAGTCGTGACTTCGGATCGTGGGCGAGGAGGAATCGTTGGAAACCTTTTTGAAAAAAAAAAAAAAAAAAAAAAAAATTGCTGACAAAGCTTTATAAAGGTTCACGTTTATATTCAAGTGAACAGTTATTTCGATTTTTCAATAATATTATGAGAAAAACTTTCAATTTTTTAATGAACCAATTTTTAAGTTATGTATAACAGAAATTCATAAATATTAATTTGAATCTCTGATATCTATCAATAAAATTATTTTTCTGTTTATTGAAAAAAAAAAATGAAATAAATTTAAACCTACACAAATTTGGTTCCATCGAATTGGTATTAGAAAAAAAAATGTTTCTTCAAAAAAATAAGGAAATAATAAATAAAATTATTCTCAATTTTATAGAAATTCTTTAGAGATTACTGATAAAAATTGTTGTCATAAGAAGTATAAAATGAAAAATTGCTAATTCAATATGGAAGATTCAAATTTTTGAAGATCAAAAAAAGAAAAATTCATTAATTGTATTGTACACTCAATTTTTCTTCTTTTTTATTTATTTTTTTTTTTTTATAAAAATAATTTTTTTGAGACGCATGAATAAAATACAAAATTAATTTTTTAGAATTTTCATATGTCAGAATTTCGCTACCTAAAATTTACTTTTAACCGAATTTTCATTTCTTCAAATTATTGTTTAACAGAAATTTCATTTATCTGAATTTCTATATTACAAAATTATTATACAAATTTTCATTTTACAAACTTTTTAATTCATCGAATTTGAATTTAGTAAAATTATTATTTTCTCGAATTTTTTATTAAACAGAATTGTCATTTAAAAGAATATTTATTTTACATAAAGAATATTAGAAAAAATTCGTTTCTAGTCAAATTTGAATTTTACAGAATTGAAATGAATTTCAATTTGAATTTTTATTTTACAGAACTTTCATTTGTCCGAATAAATAACTGGCAGAAAATTTTTGGGTGCGCAAATGCTGCAAGATATTTATTCGGACAAATGAAAGTTTTGTAAAATATAAATTCGGCGTGTTAAGAATTCTGTCAAATGTAAATTGGAATAAATGATAAAATTCAGCTAAAAATGAATTCTAATATTTTTTTTGTAAAATAAAAATTCGTTTAAATTGACCATTCTATTAAAAATTCGAGGAAATAATAATTTTGAAAAATTCAAATTCGATTAAATAAATAGTCTGTTAAATTAAAATTCATTTAAGTAACAATTAAATAATGTAAAATTTTTCAATTTTAAAAATGTCGGAAAAACGCGTTTTAGATTTAAAAAATTATGAAAGGAAATTTAATTTTTTTTTTTGTTGATAAATTATCAATTTTTGCGTATATTAATTTTTAAAAATGAGGGGAATTGAAAGTTAACAACAACAAAATGAATTTATGATATTTATTGTAAAAGACACTTGAAAAAAGAAAATTTATATTCTCTCCTATTTTGTAAAACTCGTGCTCTGAATAGATATCACAAATCGTAGGTGTCTTCAGAATTATTCATATGGAGTGCAAATGTGAAACGAATATATATATAGTAATAGAAGAAATAATAATAGATTTATGAGATTGTAATGAAAAAAAAAAATAAAAGGAAATATTGTACTCATATTTTCTACATATTATTATTATTATTATACCTATCGTCAACTAAAATAATGACGATAGAAATATGGAAATTCTTTTATTCATAAATTTATTTACAAATAGATGAAATTGAGCTAAAATGGATCAATTTTTTTCAAAGCCGTAGTAATATTATAATTAAAAAAATTTTGAGCACTTTTTTGTTAATATAATATATTTATTACAATTGATAATGGATCACTGCTATTATAATTACCAAAAAATTATTTCATTTTTTATATTCTGACTTACACTTTGTAAATAAATTTATTTTGCATGAAATAAAATTTAAAAAAATGTTTGCAAAGTATTCATCACTTAAGGCCAAGTGCAACTCATCATTAATGTAAACAAACATGAAAATGTACGTAATTATTGACAAATTTGCGACAGCATTTTATTTAATAGAAAATAAAAATTATTCTTTTTCTACGTGAAAATTGAAAATTCATATATAAAACTACAGCCTGACACCGTATTTGACTAATAATATGAATAATATTAATAATTATAATAAAATGAAAATTACACTGAAACAACAATTTTCTCAAAGTTATGAAAAAAAACCATTTGAGTATATCTGACGCACGGACGGAAAAAACCTACACTGTAAAAAAGGTTTTAATTTTACTATTTAAATAGTAGAATTACAAGATTCTGTAACAAATTTCGTTACAAAATTATGTGATTTTACTGCACTCAGTTTGACAATATTAATGATTTTGAGGTTAAAAATACAAGATTCCGTAAACTTAAAGTACAGTGTATAGCGATTTTAAATGGCGATTGTAAAATTGCCCTGCTGTGGCATGGTTTTTTTCCTCGCATATACTATTATGTAATTTTATGGACGAGTGTAAAGTTACATTTTTTACTTAATTTACATTTTAAAAATGTGAATATTATGAATTTTGTAAAATTACTAAATAAAAAGTAAAAAAGCAATTTTTTCATTGTAAAATCACATATTGATAGAAAAATACATCGACAATTAAATTTTCTTTAAATTTAAAAATTTGTTTACTTTCGAATTTTTTTGTCTGATTTCGTTTACTAAACAACTATTTTAATAATCTGTTATAATTAAATTAATTTCGTTTCGTATGTCGTCTTGGTTATATCGTGTACTTCGAATCACAATTATTAGTTAAATTTATTAAATTTACAACTTTTAGTAATTTTACAGGCGCTAGTGAATCCACATAACCTCAATGTACAGTTACTATATCCTGTAAAAATGTCCAACACCGTGTAGGTTTTTTTCCTCGCATACACTGTATGTAAAATTACAGAGAATTTTTTTACAGTGTAGATGGGAGAAAGAGTTGAGCGATTGGACAGTCACATGTTCGAAAGGGTAAAATTTTGAAATTATACCCCCAACAGATGACAGAGACTGGGTCTTTTACCCCTTCCCACACTATTTCTCCCATTCAGCCCAGATAGCACGTAAGCTTGCTGCAACCTTGCCGCTCAATATTGCCAACCTTGCATGGCAGGTTTGCCGCAAGCTTCAAATGTTCCACCTAACCCAAGCTTGCATGGTAAGCTTACCGAAAGATTTCAGTGTAAGGTTGTTGCAAGATTTCATAGTATGATTATCGCAGGATTGCTTAGTAAGCTTGCACGGTAAGCTTGTCGCAAGGTTGGTGCAAGGTTGCCCAATAACCTTGCCCAATCAGCAGAGAAGTTTGCATTGAAAATGAGGACTATGCGCACTAGCAATCATAAGCACTTACGGCTGCGCAGTACATTTTTTTGACCTCGCAGGAACTAGTGCTTAATGTATGTACAAAAATGAATTTCCTCCCGCCCAAAATTTTTTTTATTATATTCCGCAAGCTTACGCCAAGCTTGCCATAAGGTTGCCGAGAAAACTTGCATGGCAAGCTTACGGTGCAAGCTTACGGAGCAATCTTGCGATAATCTTACTGTGCAATCTTTCGGCAAGCTTACCATGCAAGCTTGGGTTAGGTGGGACATTTGAAGCTTGCGGCAAACTTACCATGCAAGGTTGGCAATATTGCGCGGAAAGCTTGCCGCAAGGTTGCTGCAAGCTTACGTACTATCTGGGAGGTCTACTTCGTCCATGCGTCAGATATACTCAAATGGTTATTTTTTCGTAACCTTGAGAAAATTGTTGTTTCAGTGTAATTTTCATTTTATTATAATTATTAATATTATTCATATTATTGGTCAAATACGGTGTCAGACTGTAGTTTTATATGAGTCGCCGGAAAGTAAAACCACACATAAAATTCTGACGGCCATGTTAATTCAATGGGAGTCAGAATTTTATGTGTGGTTTTACTTTCCGGCGACTCATATATGAATTTTCCATTTTCACATAGAGAAAGAATAATTTTTATTTTCTATTTAAAAAATAGTCTGTCGCAAATTTGTCAATAATTACGTACATTTTCATGTTTGTTTACATTTAACGAGTTGCACCTGGCCTTAAGACCTAGTTGGAAAAAGACATTTTTTAAAACTATCAAACTTGTTATGAAATGAAAAAAGATTTTTGAGGTTAAATTTTTTTTAGAAATGATAGAGAAGGGTACAAGGAATATCACTCATTTACTTATTTTGTATAATGTAATAGAAAAATTAAAAAAATAAAGCAGGAAATAGGATACAATTTTGCCTATTGTGGAACCAACCTAAAAAACCTAATAGTAATAATTTTCATTAATATATTTCAATGTCAAGTTACGTATCGAAAGTGACATCTAGCGCAATGGTAGAAAACCTTTATAAACTTATTTTGATGTTTATAATTTGCTGATTACAGTTGACAAAAGTGAATTTTGCTATAAATACGTATTTGTGTGTTAAAATATTATTTTTAATTAAACTTTACATATAGTAAATCATTGCCCTTCTAGAAAAAATCAATTAAACACGATTCAGAACGATGGAGTACAAAAATTTTTTAATCGTTTTGAATTGTTTTCAATTGGAGTATA